GGCACCTTTACAATACTAACAACAAAATACTTTCGTTGCATAAGAATTTTGTTGATATTATTTTGACAAATACTTGTGACCTTGAAACGACAGGTACTTACAAAGTTAACAAGAAATTAATAATGTTACCTAAAGTTATGGACGCCAGCGTTGGGATCCAGTGGCATGTTGGGCACGTCATCCAGAATTTTCTCGTATGTGAGCAGTCTCCTCGCTGCCAGCTTGGACAACACCTGTTCCGAGTTGGCCACCAGCTTCAGACAAGGGTGGGACGGTAACTGAGACTCCTGGTACTCTTCCCTGGAGACAATATTAATAAAATTATATACAGGTTCCTGGCGTTTTGTCCCAGGATAAAAAGTAGCCCATGTGTTATTGCTGATCATCATCTGTGTGAAAGAGCAAAATATATTAATACATCGTCACAAACTTTCCCTATTATAATATTAGCAGAATAGGATTGTAGGTTCACCTTCACAAAATATGTTAAAAGCTAAGTTGATATTAGAAATATTGAATTAATTATTACTTATTTGTGAGTGAATTTGCTACGTCGTTACATGGTGGTGTACGCACATCAGTTGTAAATTAGCTAAGTTACTGCTGCATGCAGTGATACATAAATATCTAAATACATAAGACTGATAACCATAACTGAAAAAAAAAACAAATGCACGTGAATGTAGCAGAGACTCTGCTTACCCTTTCGGATATTAAAATGTGTGACATAATGATGTTTCTGTAGATTACTTGCCAAAGTCAGTTCAGAAAAAACTATACATTACGAGTCACACGTGGTATAGAATATAATGGAAATTTATTTAATCATGTAAGACGCAGGTACGTAACGACACGTTTTAAAGCTTTATTAGTTATATCATCCTTATATGGTTTCCTTATATATGGTCTTCTTTAAAGGAAATGTTAGCGTTATGAATACTTAAAAAACTAGATAAATAATACATTGTAAACAGCAGCGTTTTTCATACTATAGGCTACCTTCATAATTATAAGAATATAAAATATATCAAACTAGTTTTTACCCGCGGCTTCGCTGGCGTCACAAAAGGATAAAACGTAGCCTATGTGACATATACCAATACACACAGCGCCATCTATACCAATAATTTAATCTTCTCTCGAGAATATAAATTTTTCTGGGATAAAAAGTACCCCATTATTTAGTCCAGACTTCTAACTTTACGTCTGCAAAAATTCAAAGCAATCGGTTTAGTAGTTACGGCGTGAAAGCGGAACAAACAAACAAACAAAATCACTTTCCTATTTATAATATTATAGGAAGGATAAGTAAATGATAAAGCATTCAAGCCTCAGTTGATATTGGTGAGGCTAGATTCATATAATAAAAACCAGTACATATTACATTACAATATACTAATCTCGTAATATGTATAAGCAGACCTTTTGTAAAAAGTTTTCTTTACAAGTATTCAATGTATCGTGTATATATAGATAAGTTTTTATAGACTGTAGGATGCATAACGTTATTCCAATATCACGACTAACAATTCATAATACATTTATATATTAATACATTTTCTTATACATATACCGTATGACCGTATACATAGCGGATATGAATGGGGCTGTCGGTAGAGGGCGCCCTGCCCTAGATGGACATATACTGACCACATTGGCGATATACTTATTAAAGAAGGGCCAAATTAACTCGTCGGGTACCGGTTTTGTAGACACAATTATAGAACAATAGGTTGCGGTCACCGGTGACCGCTTGGTGTTTGACAGTTTAAAAGTACTCTTAACCAATGAGCATGCATGAAATGATTGATGACTGTGAAACGTATGTAGGAATGCCTACCCCCATGGGAGACAGGCGTGAAGTTATGTATGTATGTACATTTTCTTATTACAATCAAATAAAGTCGTAGAACAAATAAACAGATGTATTTTGGTCAGCACGTGTTTTATTATAGTAAGTCTTTTCATTACTATTGTAAGTGGTCACCGGTGACCGCTCTCCACTGACACCATTATAGACCTTACTTCCGATGTTTAGAGACTACTTTTATATGAACAAATGCTCTGGATTTTTCATAATCGGACATTAAGAAGGTACTAAGGTACAAATGGTACTTCAAACTAAATAATCTAAGAATTATATTAACCAAAGCGGGTAGTAATAAATAAATCAAACTCCGAAAGTATTTCCATACGTTCCAAACACCTCAATAATTGTGTGGGTGGATTTAAAAATTGTGAATACAAAATTACCAACATATCGTTTCGAAATGTACAGCAATGGAACAAAATTTTTTGTAAATTGATGAATTTGTAGAATTTTATTAAGTACCCACAACCTAACCCACTATGTAATGTGCGCCGGCACGGTGGTAGGTAATATCTTATACGACTTGATAAAATTTTGTGTCCACCGCTAATACTTTAGCGGGCCGGTAACCTGTTTAAACAAAATATAAAGCTAGCTAGAGAGTATATTAGAATGTAATGATAAAAAGGTCGATATAGATTCCATGATTTTCATGCGCAATACGATTTAGTTTGGCTATTTTAAACACCCACAAATCCTAAAATTATTATTTGTAATCCATTATCACATAGATCTCCTTAATATGAACCTATTTACGGTCAAAATAAATGTTCTAAATATCTATGGGTTTCTTGCCTCGATGTAAATTTTTGACAGAAACTTCCTACAAAATTAAAGTCTAAAATCGATCTTAATCCAACGATTTAGTTTAGGAATCTAGATACGGGTTCCGGCCGTTAGTCGACTTGACGATGACGCACTCGGCCGTTGTCGCCGATTTTTTTTTTTTTTTTTTAAGGGGGGAAATCATCGAATGACTGCTTCCCGCCTGGGTGAGGCGGGAGGGAGTGTCAGACTCTTACTGACTAAAAACCACCCCGTTCCTTCTCCTGCACGTCGAGCCGGAGCCCCGGTTACCCGTTAGGTTCTCCGCGACACCGTTGTCGCCGATAGGTACTTATTGTTGTTTAATTTCATTTCATGGATAAGATGTTTGGCTATTTGTAGTTTTAGTAACTAGAGATCGTTTTAGTAACATACGATAACATAGATGCAGTTCTACTAACATAATTAACTTCGAATTTGGTTTTTACGCCCACAGACAGATTGGGTTAAAACAATCCCTTAACACAGAGTATCTATCACAATTTACAGTGGATTTACATTATTTGTCGTAGGTGGGAATCGAGTGTAATATGATAATTATGATATGAGCTTATTAATTTTCGTGACAAAAGGTGTTTCGACCTATTTTGAATTTTATAATTTGGTGACTTAACTATTTTCGTACCTAATTATTTCAACCTATGACATAAGTTAGCGACATTTCACTAAACAGCAACGAACTAACATAAAGAGGGATTCACCATGTTTGGCGTATTAAAGTAATCATTTAAATGTCTACACAGCTGAAACAATAAGTTTAACCCTTTAACCGCCACGATTCTGAACTTTCAACTTACCTCCAGCGCCACGTCACTTTAGGTATAAGTTGGAACAGTGTTGGAAACACTTAATATCGATGCATATATTCTTTAATCATTAAAAAATTATATCAATGTTTTATTTACCTACTTAATAAATAATCTAATAATTTTCAATCTTCAAACGAGGTATACGAAAATGTGTATTCGGGAAATGGACACGGCGTCTTCCGTTCTCCTGCTGGCGACGAATTAAATTTAATAATTTCATGTAAACTTCTGAGCGGATTTCCGACAGTACGGTTTCCAGCTCAAAAGGTTTTAAAGATGCAAAGTATTCATTTCGTGGATCACTTGGTCTCTGATCAAAAACTTTTGCGTCACCATCTTCTAACTTTGCATAATGGACACATTTGGTTTTGACTGTGTTGATTTATTTGAGAAATAACAAAAACCCAAAAAAGGGCTTACAACACTAGTTGCATTGAGTGATAAATGTTTAACGTGATTTTACGGTGACGGCGCTAAGGCAACTCACAATACAGCGCTATAATCTCCTTGGCCGCACGTAATATTACGATGATGGCGACCGGCGATTGTCCGCACTAGTGCGGTTCTGCGTTATGAAATTTTTATATTATTGTTATAAATATTAAATAATTTTAAACTTAAATACATTTTAATTAGTACAAATACTTGCATCAAAGTAACACTATGGTTATTTTCTAATGAAAGTATACACTTTCATTGCAAATAGTGACAGTAATATCTATAGTGCCTTGTTTGTTCTTAGACAACCTATTAAGTATTTTTCGAATTCGCCCCATCCCTAGTACTCGTAAAATTACGTGATTGGCGATACGGATAATGGAGACGGTGACCACAATTTAATTAAACCTCAAATTTCACAGTATTTATCACTCAAAACATTGAGAAATATCCATAACAATAAAGATTATACCCTACATCTTGAAATTGACACATTTTATATGGAGTTTGTGCACTATAAGAAGATTTTTAATAAAATAACGTGATTGTACGTATGTGGCGATTCGGACACAGCTTTCGAAAACCGTAATATTACGTTGTCGGCGGTTAAAGGGTTAACTGCATACCGGCCAACTAATTGAATGAGGGGTTCATTGTGTCAAAAAACTTTTTACGGAACCCCGGTTGGTCGTAGTATTCAACGAATTTGATTCGTGAATACCTTCGTAATAGAAAGATGACACAAAGAACTATATCGTAATATTTTTTTACAAAAATACCTCTACCTATAACAGAAACAAATAAAAGGCCATACAAGAGTTACAATCACTGTGAGTCCCCAAGCGGTCACCGGTAACCGCTCTCAAGTTAGTCCATTATACCTTATCTCCGATGTTTTAGAGACTACTTTTGTATGAACAAATTTTTCGTAATCGTGTATTTAGAAGTTAATCTTGATAACCATACAATAATATTTCTTTTTTTCACAACTAATTCCATAATGGATATCAAACGAAAGGGCTTGATTGGTAGAATAGAGCTCATTGGATTTGGCTAATTTTGGTTTCGAAATGTTTTTGGAATGGTTTAAAAGGTGAGAAAAAAAAATTAGAGTCGGCACGGAGTTTGCCGGGTCAGCTACTTTTATAAAACTTACCTAACTAGCGGGTACCAGCAGACCAGTCGTCGGCCCATCTCAAGATGTGTGGCCGCAAAGTTGAGGAGGTCACTGTAGATATGATGCAAACCATACTCCACTTTAGAAGGTACATGATTCGCCATATGCTCCTCAGATAATGTGTAGTTCTCTCGTTCGATTCCTATCTTCTCTGTCGGCTCTCTAACACCGTAGGGTGCTGAAAATTAAACAATATTAGTATACACAATACAAGAGCTGTACAGTTAAAACTGAGACAATACTCGGTCGGGACATATCAGAGAAGTCGCAAGCGCAAGACCGTGTGGTCGCAAGTGCGACTGCCGGGCAAGGGGTCTCGGGTTCGATTTCCGGGTCGGACAAAGTATTACTGGGTTTTTAAAAAGTTCTCAGTAAAAGCACGGAGTCTAGAATTGTGCCCAGTATATGGCAATAGGCTCACCCCCTATTACATGGGACTTATAACATAAATAGTGAAAAGTGGGTATTACATTATACAGTGGCATTAACTCGTCGAGTACCGCTTGGTGTTTGACAGTTTAATCCGCAAGCGATGTTTTTTATTAATGTCATACAATTTTTTATTACTATACGTCTAATCAATATTTATAAAGTTAAGAAGGTACCTAGTTACACACTACAATTAACCACATCTATATCTAATTATTACTCTACTATGAAGGCAACCGTTCGCGAGTATGACGCGTGTCTGTGTAATTGGTGCGGTCAACCTTTTTATTTGGAACAGAACAAAACAACCCAACACAGCGTTACCGACTGTAGGACATTTATGTGTGCATGACACCTCAACCCTTGTTACGTTGGCTGATTCCAATAGAGCTTACAATAGTCCGAAAGTTAATTGGTTAGTCACTAACTAATTTCCGATGTTTAGAGACTACTTTTGTATGGAAAAATTTTGGGGATTTTTCGTACGATATATCAAGTGATTAATTCTTTATATTCAGAGATATCTCAGAGCATCATGTCTAAAAATATCATTCACTATAAACTTACCTAAACAGTGAGGTACACTTACGGTCAGTGATGATCGCGTCGAATTTTAAGTCCGACCTCCAATTGTGCAGTGAGAAATCGCTGACAACCACGTCTAGGTACCTGGATTCAGTCCCATACTGTCTCATGTTCCCCCGTATACTCTCTTCTTTTGTACGAATCTGAAATATATTGATGTACTAGAAAAATATACAATATAATTTATTACACACAGATAACACATTAAGCTGCCCCATATTGTGAAATGTTTATTTAAGAATACAGTAACAATAAAACCAAAAGTACAAACAAATAAATCTTCTCGTTTGAAAAGGTAGTACCTATCCTCTGTCAAACAAATGATTTCACCTTTTCACTATTACAATAAAATTTTCAAAAATAAATATATTGATTGACTTGACAATACCCACCTTACTTTTTTATTATATTTCCACATCATTTTATAGAAATAAGAGTCCTACCTCGTACGAAATTCATAGAAAATAATGTTTTTGAAATGATGATGTTTTAAAAGTACCGGGTACAATGGAGTGAATATAATTCGATGCGTGAATAGATCTATAGGAACCTTTTTATAGTACCTAGGTATTCACCCCATTCTCGTATCTATTCACCCCACGAATTTTATTCACTCCGTATTTAACATCAGAAACTATCGTATTTAGGAATAAGTAAAATATAAATATGGGTAAATTAATTTATACAAAAATTAATCCCTCTATCACGTCGTCACGCCATCACGCGTGAACGGCGTAGGAGAAGGTTCTTACTTTCTCTACGATAGAAAAAAATCCTGAATATCCTACGGGAACGGGAAAAAACGGGATTGATAAGGTCGCGGGCAGAAGCAAGTATAATATAGAAATAATATAGAACAGCACCATAACCTTCGCAACACATACTTTGTTACCTTTTGACCGACGCGAGTGGGGCGTGTCCTCGCGTGCAGCATCATGTAGTCGATGTCGGAGCCCCACACATACGCTACAAATATACACGTACAACTTTACGAACATCATTTAAAACAACGGAGTGTTTATTACGAATTGTGTTACGTTTAAAGAGATCGAACATTACCGCGTCAGGCGCTCTGAGGCCTTAATACGAGTATGTTTTACGTTTAAAGTATTCGAAACGAGCACGTGTTCGGCGCTGTGATTGGTTACTTCATTGGCGTCGGCCAATAAGAGCGCCGAACCCGTACTCGTTACGATTAAAATTTAAACGTAAAACAATCTTGTACTAAGGCCTCTGATTGGTTGGAGCAGCATTTTTACCTCCAAAGTGTGCCGCAGCAACAAGTAGAGAGCCTGAGCCGACGAAGGGATCCAGAACCATGTCTCCAAGCTTCACTTGTGCCTGGTTAGCCATGATAATGGCCAATTGCGCGTCCATGCTGGTGTTGCCGATAAACTGCCGCTTCTTCAACGAGTGCACCTGGATCAGGTCACGTTGACCGTCTGCTATCTGTCAGACAATCGATCGAGTAAAACGTAATAACATCCAGTGATTCAATAACATAATAATTACATGTATACATAGTATATATTATGTCAAACTACTAAAAATGTATTAACCAACTTATAAAATAAGGAGGTTCTCAATTAGACCTGTACGTGTGTCTGTATGTTTGTACGTGATTATCTCGCAATTATTAGCTGAACCAATTTTGATGTACTTTATAGAAAAGTGATTATTACACTTAGAAGAAGGTTCTAGTACATATATTAATAAAACGACTTCAATAAAAGAGGGTTGTTGAAGTCGGTTTTCTTAAACATAGTTTATAAAATAATTATTGATGTATGTATAATCCCTATACCTACTATGGTTATACTATGTAATGACTGGTGAACCAAATCTGTTAGCCTGTAAAATTATGGTGAACTACATCTATTACAAAATATTGACCAGAGTGGTCATAAGCAAAACAGTGAAGTTTTTCTCACCCATTTCCCAAAAAAGACATCATATGGTTCTTCTGGAACATCATTTGGATCGACACCATAAAATTCCAGATAGAGTAAAGTCACATCTGGGTTCTTTAGCTTTACCGGTCCTTCAAATGGTAAGTAGCTGAAAGTCTAAATAATGAATACACATTATTATTTTTATGCAGATTATTTATAAATATACAATTGCAATGACCTAGTTTCAGTACCTATACTTAATTTTAATTTGTTTATTCTTTGTACAACATTCTTATGCATGTGGAGTTTAAACTTTCAAACACCGAGCGGTCACCGGTGACCGCAACCTATTGTTCTTTAATTATGTCTATAATGATGGTACTCGACGAGTTAAATAGGTATACTTAAGTGATTGTAGCACTAAAGTAGGTATGTATAATAAATGTAAAAAAAATAACTGCAGCACTTTCTATCTAGTACCTAATAAACCTTTGCATAATATGCCCGATAACCTAAATTGTTTAATAATTGTTAGCAACTACAGACGGATACTTACTTCAATTTTTGAAACCTTCTCCTTCATGGAATAGTGCTTGCAAAAGGTCTCAACTTCGATCTTAAACGATTTTTTAAGTGGACAACTTGATTCTATCAGTTCCTTAGGACACAAACAGGTATTGCTAATCCCATTATTATCTTTTTCCCCTGCAACCCAACTACCTGTCGAATTTTTCAATGAGTTTTTCAAGTTCACGTGTAATTGTGACACGGTTTTTGCTCTGGCCCATAATTCTATACAGTTTTTCAAAAGTACTGACCGAGAAGCAATCTTTCTGACACAATCTTCTGAAGGCATTTCCACAATACAATACGGCTTCTGAACGCAAGGTTTCTCTACATACCTTACCGGTATGTTCAATAACGATATTATACTTTGCATTTCCTGAAATAAGTTACAATTTAATATAGAAGTTCATCTACTTATTCAAAAGGATATTCTTATCAGGTCATAAAATGTTTATGAAACTTACTGCATGACGGAAATCAATGTGTTCGTGGGCGAACCACATTAAATATCTTTTCCACATTTTAGGTTCAGTTTGCATAGCGTCTTACAGTTTACAGTCTTACCGAAAATATTTTCAAATAAATTCTGAATCTCATTTCAACAACATAACCTCAAAATATAAACAACGTTGTATTTGTGTACAAGTCTTGTACATGATGGTACATGACATGACATAGATACGTATTACGTTTCGTTACTTTGATTCATCATTGACACTGACAGTGACACGCTGACGGCTGGCACCACCACCTGACCCACGCTATTTATGTACTTATGTATTACGTGTCATCAACAAGGTCTCATCCAAGTTTCATCTCATAAAAATAAAAGTTAACTCAACTCAAAAACTATTTTAATTTCAATAATTTACAAATTTATATTATAAAAATACATAACATCCTTCAAACCATTATAGTTATTAATTATTTCAACTTCTTCTAACTACCCAGTATTTATAACGTGACCAAACATCCTGATTTGTACGGGACTGTCCCTTTGCTGTCCCCGACACTCCCCGAAATGAACTCTGGTACTCGAAATTGTCCCATTTTCGAAAACCGCGCGAAAATTTTAATAGTTCAGCCAGCCGACATGACGAGGTGCGAACTGCAAATAGATACAGAAGAGGGGTGAATTAATGTTGAGAAAGTGTTCTACCTAATATTTATTCAATCCATTCCTGTATCTATTGACCCCGTTTTACCGTTGTTTTTATAAATTGGTAAAAATTAAAATAGTTAACAGGTAAACATTCTCGGCGTTACATAACTCACTCATTTTTAACGAAGTAAAGTCAAAAAAACGTTTAGGTACCTACATGTTCGTGCAGAGTTAATACTAATTAACCTTTCTGTTGGGATACGGATGCGGACACTAAGTTTATGTTTACAGGATATTTAATAGTAGGATGTAGCTAGATGTAGTAGGTGAATAAATCTAAATAAATGGATGTCCCGTTTTCAGTTAATAAATTAATGGTCACATTTCTGATTTTAAAGCTGAATAGTTCGTAACTATTTGTCTTTATCAATAAAGACCTTAAAACCTATAGTGAGAGACTATTTTTGTATGAACAAAGTTAAATAATGTAGATGGATTATTTGACATACTGTATTCAATTTAACAACATTACAATTAATTAAACTTAATGTACCTAATTTTATTATATAATTCTTTTATAACATATCTTTGCATGCCAATTGAAGGCAAAATATGCAGAAACTGTTAATACCTACCTATATTATGTACCCATGTTTGCAAACGATTAAATGAATTTGAATGGGTTAAATAAACAAAACGCGCTAATCTCTAGTCTTCAGAACTATTGTTTCCAATTGAATAACTCTTTCTGTATTGTAGGTATTCTAAAGTCTTTCGAGGCAGACTATAGGCTATAAAATCAGATGGGGCCCAATACGGCCGATGCCGATTCGGAGTCGCGGAGAACCTAACGGGTAACCGGGGCTCCGACTCGACGTGCAGGAGAAGGAACGGGGTGGTTTTTAGTCAGTAAGAGTCTGACACTCCCTCCCGCCTCACCCAGGCGGGAGCAGTAATTCGATGATTTTCCCCCCTTAAAAAAATAAATAAATAGGCTATAAAATATAACGTTACAATTAATAGCAGCCGAGTAGGTAAAACCTCTGCGCTGGTGATATGGGTGCCCATGGGCGGCGCGAAGCGGTTGCAACCAAGTGATCCGGCGGCTGCATAGACTACACAATATATACTGAGAGGCTGCTGGTTTGCTTCCTATGCCATACAATTTACAAATCTGCGCAGGGGCGATAAAATATTCATCCCGTAAAAATTTCACTATTATTGAAATTTGAAAAAAATTTTTTTTTTTTGTATTTTTACAATTTATTTCATTTTTTTTATTCAAGGCAAGTGTTCGAGCTCTTTGTTTTAGCGGTTTAAAAACATTATTACCCGCGAATATTTACTTTCTAGAGGTCGACGTATAATATTTATTTATTGCTGGGTACAAAACTACCTACCTACTCTATTTTCCACATTTTACCCTTTCCTACAAATTATTCTCCCAATTACTAATATGTGTAGGCACACTGTATCTCAATGAATTCTAAATTGTATTCCTCTAGTTCCATGTAATATAGGAGAATATGAACATAATATATTGTCAAGAAATAGCAAATAGGTAGGTAGGTACGTAAACATCCTATGATCCTATTCCTCAGTCTATAAGTACCTATAACTTTTTGCACCTGTAGCCCATCAATGTAGCCACCGCGTATGTATAAATTCACTGTCATATGTTTTTCAATCACAAAATAGTAAGGTAGGTAATCACATATTTGCACACTCACGACACGAGTACACGACCATTCGAACAACGAGCCAAAAATGGAAGGTAGGAAATGAAAAAATTCTGGAGTGTATTATATTGTCTTGGTTATTTGAGAATATAATGAAAGGCATTCTAGGTTAGCAGTTATACATTTTATTTGAATAATAATTAATTAATTACATAATAATATAGAACACATGCATCACTGCTGCCATAAACCGACATTGTCATATGTTGTCCATTTAGGCAATTTTATTCTGTAGAAAAAAGCATTCCACTCTTTGATAGGTCATCCTGCAGCCGCATATTTACATTTCCCCCTCCTGACCATCGACGTCATAATAGACGGTGCATCAGGGTTAGTGTTCCTGCACACAACATCGCTACACTATACAATATTACTCAATTCCCCATAAAAACAAGGCAATGAGGTTTATGGGTTTGGGTTTGGATTTGGGTTTAGGTTTGGGTTTAGATTTGGGTTTAGGTTTGGGTTTAGATTTGGGTTTAGATTTGGGTTTAGATTTGGGTTTAGATTTGGGTTTAGATTTGGGTTTGGATTTGGGTTTAAGTTTGGGTTTAGATTTGGGTTTGGATTTAGGTTTGGGTTTAGATTTGGGTTTAGATTTGGGTTTGGATTTGGAAATGGAGGTGGATGCAGCTGATAGCTAGGGGTTAGTGCAAAAATGGGTAAATCTGGCAGCTCACTATCTGCCAACAAAAGGCTGGTAAGCATGGGATGAGCTTCAAAGAGAGATGGCTATTCTGCTGTCCGCTCAACTTCTTGTCTGTATATTAGCCTTTGCTGATACATGTCAGCAAGAAAGTCTTCATAGACTGCTTTAACTGGCCCTGAGACCGGAACATAATGGCCATTGGGATGCTCAAAAGTTACAGGGTCATTGAATTTGTTTGCAAGGGTTTCACTCATTTCTGTAAAAAAGAGGAAATATTTTAATAACATACAGATCCTTATGGCATGCCAGTTGATTTAGAAAGTAGCTGTAGTACAAAACTTTCCTTCAAAAACAAAATGGTGAAGTTTCTTCTCAAGAAAGTTTGTTAAGGTCTCCTGGATTAAGTTTATTTCTATATAACTATTATGTGTGAATTATAATGTCAAAGGTTTTAATTTTAGGGAGCTACATCTGTAGCTCCCTCAAATAATAAAATTACAAATAGTAAAATAGTTTGCTAGCAGATGCTAGCAAACTATTTTACTGTTTGGCAGAAGTAATATTCTTTTCTAAACTATGTTTGTTACTTTGAAAACGGTTTTTATTCATTCATTTACTTTATTAAATCAAATGTGTTACCTTTGGGTATCATGGAGTCAGTTTCTCCATAAACATGTAGAGATGGTATGGTAATAAGATTATGTTCATAGAAGCCCTTGTGAACAAGACTTCCAGATAAGTAGCCTGATATAATGATAACGAATCTGAATCTGTACGGCAACACTGAAAATAAAGAGGGTAAAAATAATTTCAATTGCTACACACAAAATTAAACATTATTATCTTTCTCTTAGGTATATCTCTTACATCGTTTCTGCTGCATAGCAGCTAGTAAACCCACAAGACAGCCTCCTTGTGAGAAGCCCAATAACCCATCAAATGGTCCATGCTCCCTTACTCCCGTTTTCACTACCTCCAATGTTTCTTCAAATCCATAAGCAGGCCCTCCAAGACACTTTCCGCTGTAATTGTTGTCTTCAGTATTATACCACCAAGTTCTGGGATCTGCCAATGTATAACAAACTAAAGTTATGGAAACTAATGTTAATAAATACAAGTTGAAACAAACAAATTTTCCATTATGGTTATGAAGCACTGCACCCACGCAGACAATGATATAAAAGTAGTCTCTTAACATTGGAAATAAGCTCTATTAAACTATCAAACACCAAGCGGTCACCGGTGACCGCAACCTATTGTTCTATCATTGTGTCTATAATGAAAGTACTCGACGAGTTAATGGAATAAGTGGAGAGCAGTCAGTAGTGACCCAACAAGAATATTATAAAAAAGTACTTTATATTTAATATATAAATGTTGGGATTAAAAATTTGGCTTTCAAGGAAAGCACAAGTAAAACAATGGAGTGTTTTAATTACCTTGATCACCACCACCCGTTGTGTCAGCAACAGCATGTGGAGCAGTTACATATGAAAGGTATGCATACTTATCAACAATTTTCCGAAAAGCGGCTAATTTAGCTTTAAATCTGTCACCATTTTGTCTATGCCCATGAATGCACAGAATTTTTAACTTCATTGGATCAATTTTTTTTTCTGCACTTTTTGAGGTTGATGGGTTACTAGTTTCAGGTGCAATATTTGAAGTTAAATTTGAGGGTAATTGGCTCGAACTTGAAGACAGAGGTATTTGACTTGATGTCGAAGCTGACGGTGTTTCGGTTGAAATTGAAGTCGATGGTGTTTCGCTTGAAGTTGAAACCGAAAGTCCCGACGGCATTTCGTTAGTCATAGTAGAAGCTGAAGGTGGGTTTGAGGTACCACTTGAGCCAGATTGTTCTGCCGACATTATGCCGCCTTAATTTAATACACACAGCACATTCAATTCGCACAATAATTTATTTACTGATATCTGTTTGTTAACTCCGAGAGCAACTCCAGAGGTTATATTCCTGAACTCGGACGATAAGCAAACATCGCGAAGACTGACAATCTTGGACAACAAACTAATAAAATGACAGCCCGAAAACACTACGTTATGGTATTTATACACAATGCTGGGACCATTGATCTATAAATTATATAGATGGTACAGTTTGACTATTTAAGAAAATGAATGAGGGCGCCACAAGTCGTAATTATTACTAATCAAAAACTAACCTGTAAAATTTTTCAAAGACAATATCATATTTTGAACGAATAGGTACGACCTTCCAAGATAATTAAAACTTGTTACTTACTATTAAATATATATAACTATATTAATATTTACAACATAAAATTAACTACAACTAAACTATTAAATAAAACGATAGTAAAAAAAGGAAACAACAAAAATTATACCCTTCATTTAGGCGTCAAAGTATTCCTCCACATCACTATCACAGGGGAACGTTCCCAGGAGACTGGCAGCTTTGCCACGTTGAATGGCAATGCTTATTTTCTGTCTGAAGAAATAGCCAACCCTATGGTCACGTGTAGAATCGATTAGCCTACGGGCGATATCTTTAAAGACAGAGTGAGCACTGGGACCACATGGCTCAAGTGTTTCGACCCCAAACGGCTCAAAACAGTAGTTACCCACTAGATTTGAAAATTTATGCCGTTCGAGGGCCTCTGCCGTGGTAGCGGCTGCACCAGCGCTTGCAGCGGTACTTAGGAGATGTGATGGTGCAAGGGTGTCTATACACGTTGCGTCCCACACCAAAGCAGCAACGACATACCATCTGGTCTCTTGCCATCATCACGTATCGAACCATTACGTTCTAATACGGCTGGTACACTGGCTGAAGCAACAGCACCACGAATGATATCGTTGATGCTGGCATGGCGAGTTATGCGGCCTGCATTTCTGCAATAGGAAAGACCATGGTGTCCCAAGCCATCGACTCTTGCTCCACAGTGACAGTAATGCGGAGAAACATAAGGAGCACCTAAACGTAAGCATACAGCTAGGCGGGACGTTATGTCATCCAACATAGTACCTATGAAGGGTGACGGGAGTGCCTGAAGCCACAATCCTGATTCCCATTCTTCCACAGCTAATAAACGAACTCGCTCTGCAGTATAAACCCCTTGAATTGAAAAATCATCCCCTAAAAAGTAGGACTACTTTTTAGGGGATAGTTTTTAGGGACCTAAACATTGGAAATAAGGTCTATAATGTATTTAGTGGAGACCGGTCACTGGTGAAGTGGTGACCACTTAGCCATTTTCCAAGCTTCCACTGCATCAGTCAAATACGGCACCACGAAACTTCTAATATTCTTCTATCTAAAATAAAAAAATCTATAAATTAAAATGAATTTCCGTTCGTTTCTCTCTAATTTTGGCCTTGTCATGTTCGTGGAAGTCCAGGGAAGGTTAAAAAAGGGAGGAAAAATATATTAGGCAGTACTAAATTTGCCGGGTCAGCTAGTTACACATAAAACCGATTATTTTGTAGGTCATCGTTTATTTTGTCGTCTGTCAAAGTGTTTATTTAAAGATGTTTTTATAAAAATTCTCGTGAAATTCGTGTTGGTTGGTGCTGAAGTGGCAATAGAGATAAAGATTTCTTCAGCATTAGATCAGCAAAAACTGCATATATTATCAAAATATCTCTGTTTTTATACCATTCAAATGGGCTTACTGCAAATAAACTAAATATGGTGGCCAGCAGGTGAACCTATTCTTTTCTTCATTATAAAGGAGATGTTTCTTTTTTGTATGGGGCTCCGGCCATAACATGTAGTACTTACTTACATCTATACTAATATTATAAAGAGGAAAGATTTGTACCTATTTTTGTATGTTTGTAATGAATAGGCTCAAAAAGTACTGGGCCGATTTAAAAAAAATCTTTCACCAATAGAATGCTACATTCTTCCAATTTGACATAGGCATTTCCTTTTGAAAAAAATTATGGATCCTTGGTAAAATTTGAACAATGTAACCGAAGGTGTAGAAAAATTAGTCTTAAAATGTCTTTCGTCGAATGCGCTGCCGAAACTATTGGCGATAGAACAAAATAATGTACAACAATATTGAAGAACATCATAATGTCTACAAAAAAACTCCGCGGTAGCATATGTCCAACTATTGTAATTATGTCACTACAACAATCCAAATTTCACAAAAATAAATAATTGTCTCCCCCGTGCGAAGCGTGGACGGGTTGCTAGTACATAATAAGGAAGGTGGGAAATAAGCCACTGCATGGAATCATAATCAACCAACCATAAAGCATCATTTTTATCCTACTTTTGAGTATTTATTGTGTACAAAATAAAAATTCAAAATATTTACATTTGCAACTTTATTTTATTGACATAAAGTCATAAATTGATTGGAGTAGGTTGATCTGCTGGTCACTGTACAATAATTTTCTAACAAACTATGAAGTCATACATTTTTATCTAAAACATAATATATGCTTCATGACATGTGTAGAACAAATAGCTACATGCAATGTATAAAGGTGTATTGATTTAAAATGTAATGAAGAAATGCAAGATCATTCGCAGTATTCGAAAACAGGAAATCCTCTTATTATTTATTCATCATCATCATCATCGTCATCATAATCATCATACTAGCCACAGGACGTCCACTGCTGAACATAGGCTTCCCCCAATGACTTCCAGATAGGCTGGTTGGAAGCGACCTGCATCCAGCGGCTCCTTGCGACCTTAATCAAGTCGTCTGTCCACCTTGCGGATGGACATCCTACGCTGGATTATGTCGGCGACCTTTGTTCGTTTGCTGATTTCTTCGTTGGCCAAGTATGTGCCCGACCCAGTTCTGGAAAATGACCATATCAAATTGTACTGGGACCGTTCTATCATTACTGACAGGACTATTGTAGCCAATAAACCTGACATAGCGGTAATAGACCGAAAAGTACGCCGTACGATGATAATCGATGTCACCATTCCCCATGACGAGAACCTCGTGAAAGCTGAGAAAGATAAACACATAAAATATCTAGAATTAGCTCACGAGGTTGTCGACATGTAGAATGTGAATTCGGCTATCATTGTGCCAATAGTCGTGGCGACCATTGGGTTAATCCCTAAAAGCCTCGAAATCCATCTCAGGAGGCTGGCTTTAGGTGGATGGATCAAGGGCCTGATACAGAAGGCAGTTCTCCTAGAAACGGCACGTATCGTGAGGAGGTTTCTATCTATGGAGCCCTAACCACAGGTAGCTTCGATCATGCTCCCGCTACTGGTCGGTTCCTATTTTTTATATTTTTAAATATTAGGTAGTTTTTATTGTGTAATTAGTATTTAAAAATGTAATTTATAGATAATTTTAAATAAATATATGACACAATAATAATATATGCTTTATTGTATAACACACAATAATTTATTGATGAATACATATTTTACTGATACTTTGAAAGAGTTTTACACTCAAGAATAACCTAACCTAACCTTAAATAAATGTCGCGGAGAACCTAACGGGTTGCCGGGGCTCCGGCTCGACGTGCAGGAGAAGGAACGAGGTGGTTTTTAGTCAGTAAGAATCTGACACTCCTTCCCACCTCACCCAGGTGGGAGCAGTAATTCGATGATTTTCCCTGCTTAAAAAAAAACCTTAAATAAATGTTGACAACTTTGTACGTATTGTGAATGTGCAGATGTTTGTTACTCAATCATGTCTAGATATTTGGAATATTGTGTCTTCAGACTTTACAGTATTATATATTAAAAATTCCCTAAATTCACAGGAAAGGGGTGAAGGATGTGAACACATGGATGAAGCCGTGGGTGATAGGTAGTAGCTAGCAAAGCTGGATAGATAACAATATAATAAACATTAATCGATAAGCCAATTAAAAACAATAATTATTCTTACCAAAATTATTATGGTAACAAGAGCATTGATATTTTTCTATTTTTTCCAAAGCAACATCCTATATCCATAGTTCTGGGCTCGCTGCCATTGCAGCGGTAAGTTGCCCTCTTTGAGGAGTGGCTTGAGAGACGATGGCGTCCCCACCTACCGCCTGACGCAAGTCCTCACCGGACATGGAAGTTTTCGGAGGTACCTGTGTTTGATGGGGCGGTAGGAAACGCCCGGGTGTCATCACTGCGAGGATCGCCCTAAGGACACGATGGAACACCCAGTAGCGGAATGCTCTGCCTGGGCTGAGCACTGCCGTGCCCTCGTGGACGTGGTCGGCGATGGCGACCTGTCGCGTCCGGTCCTAGTGCGGGTCATGATGCGGAGTGAGGGGGACGTCTAACTGGGAGGCGGGACGCGTAAGGCAGCGAAGCGCTGCCTTCTCGCAACCCAGCCATCGCGAAGGACACTCCAGGCGTCGGGGATCGCAGAAAGATCTCCGGCCACCGTAAGGCCGGGCCTGCGGACGGAGAGCATGGGTGGCTCGCCACCTGACCAGAACCAGACCCGAGCTTACGGCGCGTCGCTATCCGTGCGCGCCTCAAAGAATCATCAGACCACCACGGATGGGGATCAATAGGCCTAATGCTGATACGGAGCCGCGGAGAACCTAACGGGTTACCGGGGTTCTAGCTCTAGAAACAGGGTGGTATTTAGTCAGTAAGAGTCTGACACTCCCTCCCGCCTCGCCCAGGCGGGAGAAATCTTTCAACGATATTCCCCCTTAAAAAAATCCACATTGTTCAATCCACCATTACAAAATACAGTTAAAGTTTTTTTGCACAGTTTTTTAGTAGGTATTTCACATCTATAAATTATGTTATAGATCAATGTCAAAATATTTATTGAAAATACTTTGTATTTTGTTTTGTACTCGACTTAGTACACCACTAATGGTACACCGCAACCTATTCATTATGTCACACACTAGTCACTATGTCATTTTGGCGCCAAAAGCTAAGCAAATGTCACATTGTTTTGTTACGCAGCCAAACAGACTAAAAGTTAAAAATTAAAAAGTGCTTTGTTTATTAATTAAGTTTAGCACTAATATAATTTCATTTACAAAATGGAAGAAGGTGATTTTGATCAACGTTTAAGAGATTTACAGAGAGAATATCTCGAATTTTTGGACGATGAGGTAAGTTTCGATCTAACCCCAATGTTTTGTACCGGTATCCAAGTTCTATGCCCGTTCTTTTATCCGTTGTATTTTATAAATTTAAGGAAGATCAAGGAATTTATATGGAAAAAGTGAAGCAAATGATAGCTGATAAGTCGCAGCGCTTAGTTGTAAGCGTAAATGATTTGCGACGTAAGAATCCGGAGCGTGCTCGTAATTTGCTTGACAATGCATTTGAAGAACAGATAGCGTTTCAAAAAGCTCTGAAAGAATACGTCTCCTCTATAGACCCTACATACGCGAAGATTCAAGAGGAATTCTTCGTCGCGTTCAATGGTAGTTTTGGAAACAAACATGTTACACCTAGGAGTTTGACGTCAAGGTATAGTTTATTATTTATATATTTTTTTTTATAGTTTGTACATTTTTATTTAACTAAACCAGGCAGCAGAAGATGACGGGACAAACTTGACTTCTCTGTCAAGGATTGGCCGCTGAAAGGTTTGCTCCTTCTGCAAACCTATCAGCCCTAAGCGAAAGCTAAAGCCAAGCCCAGCCAAATACTGGGTAGTATTTGGCTGGGCTTGGCTGGCCTGCTCCTCGGTAGGGAGGCATTTACCATGGGACCATAACGGCTGAAAATAAATAAATTGAAGCTATAAGTATTTTAGTTAAATTAGTGTGAATTAAGATAATAATTCTAATTTTTCCAGGTACCTGGGTAACTTAATATGTGTGGAAGGTATTGTGACCAGGGTGTCTCTTGTGCGCCCTAAGGTAGTGCGCAGTGTGCACTACTGCCCGGCCACAAAGAAGGTTATGGAGAGGAAATATACTGACCTGACTTCTTTTGAAGCCTTCCCTACTTCAGCTATCTACCCCACTAAGGTAATAGGAGTATATCTCATCACATACTGTTGTACATTACTGCTTTGTTATAACAACATTGACAATGTAAAAGACAATGAATTATCATGCAAAAATAATAATAATAATATATTTTGCATTGCATAATATAATTATGTAATTAGTTATTTGCTGCAAAACTTGAGAGATTGGGTGTCATGTATATGTTTTATTAAATTATATGAGATGTTCTTTAAGGATGATGAAGGCAATCCCTTGGAGACAGAGTATGGTCTCTCCCGCTACAAGGATCACCAAACCCTGACAGTCCAGGAGATGCCTGAGCGGGCACCAGCAGGCCAGCTGCCCAGGAGTGTGGATATCATTTGTGATGATGACTTGGTAGACAAGTGCAAGCCTGGAGACAGAGTGCAGATTGTAGGCAACTACCGCTGTTTGCCTAACAAGCAGGGTAGTTTCACTGCTGGTACTTTCAGGTAAATATGTCTATTCTATCTTATAATTATATTGCTGTCCACATCCTTGCTTGCAGTACACAAATCTTTAGGAACAATACTCAAACATTCTTCAAATTATTTTTGTTCCCTGATCCAAACCTTTGTAGGCAATATTGTCTAATTGCTGTAGATCAAACCAATTAGGATTACTCAAAGAAAATAAGAGCATTGCCTCCAATAAGAAAAAATAATACTAGTCTACGATATATTTACAGGACAATTCTAATAGCAAACAATGTAACACAAATCAACAAGGATATGAACATGAATATTACCTTAGAGGATGTGAAGCTCTGCAAGAGGTTAGCCAAGCGTGGTAATACGGACATGTTTGAGTTACTGTCCAAGTCACTAGCTCCGTCTATTCATGGACACGATTATATTAAGAAGGCTATACTCTGCTTACTGCTGGGTGGAATGGAGAAAGTCCTGCCTAATGGCACTAGACTTCGAGGGTAAGACTTATACAACAAAGTTTTTATGATAGCTACTGATATCAAGAAATAACTTGCTGTGATTGTGGGGATTTTACTAGAATTTATAATAGTTAAAAATGGATATTAGGCTAGATGCCTAATTTTTATTTTAATCTCTGACTGGTAGATTATTTTAAACTAGCTTCTGCCCGCGACTTCGTACGCGCAATCGCGATATTTCCCGTAGCCGTTCTTGATTTTCGGTTAAAAGTAAAAAAAAAGTATTGGGTAAAAAGTATCCTATGTTCGTCTCCTGGTTCTAAGCTACATCCTCACCAATTTTCATCCAAATCGATATAGCTGTTCTTGAGTTATAAATAGTGTAACTAACACGACTTTCTTTTATATATATAGAAGATCATTAGACACGTATTTTTATTTTTTTTATTTTCTTACAGAAACGAATACTTTCGTATTGATTTGAAATATCGCGTGACGTCACTTCTATGTACATTTAATACGTAGAAATGACGTTTCAGCCCCCACTCCTAAACTTTGATTCGTTTTATTCAAGTATTGTTTTATTATACGACAAAATAAAAAAATATGTGTCTAATATCTTTTAATTACCTAACTTACGGACTAGTTACATTTTTTATTTTTTTTTATTTTCAAAGAATTACATCAACCATGTATAATGTTACAGTGACATCAACATTCTTCTAATCGGAGACCCGTCGGTCGCAAAGTCCCAGTTACTTCGATACGTGCTGCAGACGGCGCCCCGTGCCATTACCACTACTGGTCGAGGGTCTTCTGGAGTAGGTCTCACTGCTGCAGTCACCACTGACCCAGAGACTGGAGACCGCAGGTTGGTTTATTTATTTACTAACAACTTACTTCACTACTTTATCATGGAAAAGGTGGTGGAATTGGAAACTTTGATGGTACAAAGATGACTGTAAGATGTAGAAATTGTAGTCAAAAGTATGTATATTTTTAATTACAATCAGTCCGTTTCAAATTGTTTTATTTTAGGATAGGTGACATGGTTAAATTATAGTGAACAGTGAAACTATTATTTTTTTGAAGCAGCAAATGACCTCAGAGGCAAACTATCCTGCCGAATCGGAGGACTCGTCAAATCTAGGGTTCGAACAATGGCGTCCATCCTAGTAAACGGCTTGGGGGAGCGAGAGAGCTGCCATCGCCTAATGGTAGATGAGGCTCTCATGAACCACTTTGGAGCCGTTGTGATGGCCGCCCGAATAACTCGAGCCAAGGAAGTCCTTCTAATTGGTGACATAAATCAGCTTCCGTTTATAGATCGTGATAACCTCTTCCCTCTACTCTACAGCCGCCCTACATATATCACGCCCATAAGCCAGGAATTGATGTGTACCCACAGAAATCCAATGGATGTGGCGTATGCCCTCAGCACAGTTTACAGTGGCATATATTCGTCCAGGTCGTTCGTGAGATCCCTCGAGATAAAAAGGTTCTCGGGGGCGATGATTCCAAAGTCACTCCCCGACACTTTATACCTGGTACACACTCAGGCAGAGAAGGAATCCCTTAAGAACCAGGGATACGGGTCGACCGTGGGATCACGCGTGCTCACGATACACGAGGCACAGGGACTTTCGTGTGCGAATGTGATTGTTGTCAACACAGCAACAAAGAAACATCAAATACATGACAGCGTACCACACGCGGTAGTAGCAATATCGCGTCACACGCATGGTTGCATCTATTACACAGACAACAGTGAAGACGCGATAAGCAAACTAATCAGGAAGGCGGCTGATGAGGGTGAGCAAGGTATTAAGGACTACAACCTGAAAATGGCCATCAAACACAGGGACGCGGCAGTCGTGGGTGCTCTCTTGGGCGGGGAGTGTTGCTTGTGATGGAACGAATGCAACATGAGGAAATGTGTGTGCAGAAACATGTAGAAATAGAATATGACCAATTGAATTTTGGACTATTGTACGCTTTATTGGAATCGGCCCATGTGGCAAGGGTTGAGGCGTCATGCACACATAAATGTCCTACAGTCGGTGGCGCTGTGTGTTGGGTTGTTCCGTTCCCAATAAAAAGGTTGACCGGACCAATTGCTGACACACACGTCATACTCGTGAACGGGTGCCTTCTGCTGGGTCAGGTCGGCTCTCCCATCGTGTTGGTGGGCTGGTTTCATAAAGCCTTTGAAATAGAAATAAATAAATAGTGCCTAATTATTATGTAACCTATACTTTTGCTAATAATTATAGATGTAGTTAATTGTAGTATGTAACTAGGTTCCCTCTTTACTTTATAATTATTGACTAGATGTATTATAATTAAAAAACTGTATGACAAGGGCACGGACCTAGAGTCCGTGGAGAAATAATCTTTAATATTATATATAAACTATTATTTTATATTGGTTGTGATGTACTTGATGACGATCTGCAGTTTCTTGAAGTCTGTGTGTACTCTGTCCGCAGACTGGAAGCAGGCGCCATGGTGTTAGCGGACCGAGGCGTCGTGTGTATCGACGAGTTCGACAAGATGTCGGACATAGACCGCACGGCCATCCACGAGGTGATGGAGCAGGGCCGCGTCACCATCGCCAAGGCGGGAGTACACGCCACGCTCAACGCGCGCTGCTCCGTGCTCGCCGCCGCTAACCCAGTCTATGGAAGGGTCAGTAGCTCATAAGCTTAGGAATTTACTTTAGTAATTAATTGCAGTGGTGTGAGTGATGACAGCAGAGTAGTATAATAATATACCATTGTAATCAGCCCGCTACTACGTACTTTCCCCGCGGGTGTACTACACATTTCAGAACATATATAACATACATAACATCACGCCTTTTACCCCAGAAGGGGTATGCAGAGGTGCACATTATGTCACTATACTGTATTTAACACCCACTTTTCACTATTTATGTCATAATATAAAAATTGAATAGTGGGTTGTCCCATGTAATAGGGGGTGAGCCTATTGCCATATCCCGGGCACAATTCCATACTCCGTGCTACTACTGAGAATTTTTAAAAACCCCGTATTTATTTGCCCTACCCGGTAATCGAACCTGAGACCCCTTAACCCGCGGTCGCACTTGCGACCACTCGGCCAACAAGGCAGTACAGAACAGTGCTTGATTAACCCCAACCTGCTGCGATCTGCAACCTGCTTGCCAAACATGGACATTGACCCATCACATGTAAAGGAAGTTCATAGTTCAGCAGTGGAATGTGCTGTTGATTACTTCAGTATGAGTTATATTATACATATAAATCTTCCTTAAGAATTCTAAGGTGTTGAAAGAAAGAAAAATCGTTTTAGTTGTTCTTGACTACAGTGACCACAGAGTAACAGACAAATTGTCCATTGTCAATTGACATAGAGAATTGTTGGGCTTGGTTGCTATGACTGTAGCATAAAATGTTTCGTATCTGCTCTTAGAAAGAAATAAAAACAGTTTTTCTTCACTCTGTGACGAAAACATAACAATTTTTCCATTTTCTTAACTGATAAATCTAATATTATGTTCCCCAGTACGACCAGTACAAGACGCCCATGGAGAACATAGGTCTGCAAGACTCGCTGCTCTCGCGTTTCGATTTACTGTTCGTGATGCTGGACATTGCGGACGCAGACCATGACAATATGATATCTGAACACGTGCTTAGGATGCATAGATACAGGTAAACTTCATTAAGGCATTGGCTGCCAATAAAAAACTATTGAAGGCAAATCCTCCGCTAATGTCGGTCACCAGTGACTGCCATGGCGTTTAACGTGTTAACATTACGTTTTTTTTATAACCCGGCGAATGAGCAGGCAGATCACTTGAGCAAGCTATCGGTGTGGGCGCCGCGTATGGATGCCTGCAACACATTGAGTAATGAGTTAGTTGCCAGTTTTTGGTCGCTTTGACTTTGGTAGTTGTTTTATTTTTATTTTACTAAAAAAAAAAAAAAGTTGCCCCACACTAGTATTTTCTCCTGTGTCGTGGGTGCGTTTACAAACATACAAGTTCACATACACATGACACCCAGACCCGGAACAACAATCTGTGGATCACACAAAGAATTGTTCCGTGCGAGAATCGAACCCCCGACACGTTGCGCGTCAGCCAGTTGCCCAGCCACCGCGCCAACCGTGCAGTCCTGTTGGTTTTCTGTGTTAAATTTTTAAAACATACTCTATTACCGTACGCATTATACAAATTATGTATATTTTAGGAACCCCAAAGAACAAGATGGTGAAGTACTACCAATGGGCTCCACAGTAGAGATGCTTTCTACTGAAAATCCAGATAATGATGAAGCTGAGGTAACTATAAAATGTGCATGTTTAAGAAAACCATCACATTCCGAATAGTTTAACAATTATTATTATGTCTTTAAAACATGTTTGTATGTTAGATAAAATGACAGACAATATTATTTGCTTAAGATATTCGATTTTGAAGTGCCGTGCTATACTTTATTTATTTTAGTTTATTTTAAGGCATATCAACAATATAAACACGAATAAAGAAAATAAAAGGAAATGAACAATGCCATTGATTAATTATTATATTTTTGCTACAGCTACCATTCATCAATTTCATTTTAATGTTAACATGTTAACAGGAAACAAATGCATCGATATACGAGAAATACGATCCTCTATTACACGGAAACACTCGTAGCAAGAAGGAGCAGTACCTGAACACAAAGTTTATGCGCAAGTTCATACACATCTCGCGGCTAATGAAGCCCAAGCTCACGCAGGAAGCGTCTGACGCCATCGCTGATGAATACGCCCGGCTCAGGAACCAGGATATGATGGACAGCGATGTGGCAAGGGTAAGTCTTTTTTATTCAAAACGATATATTAGTTATAAAATGACTCCATCATTACATCTATGTATTTAATAATAAAATAAAAGCTGCGTTTAAAAAACCGACTTCAAAAAACCATAAACTAATAACAAACAAAAAGTCAAAACTAAAAAGCAAAAAATAACTATTATTAGTACTGATATGTTACACACCCACTGATAGGTAAGAAGTCGGTTCCTCTCGGTTTCCCTAGGATCCCATCTTCAGATCCTGACCTTCTGACCCTTTCAAACAAAACAAGAATTTTGGAAATCGGTTCACAAATGGCGGAGTACTGCGACAACAAAAAAAAAACAGCCGAACATAGTACCTCCTCCTTTTTTTGAAGTCGGTAAAGATTCTGGAGTGAAATCGGTCATTAATTTCATCCGTAATTGAAAGAACGAGATAGAGATAAGTTCGGCCCTCTCTTCTATATTTTTTTTTTATATTTTATCGGTCGACGTTTGACCTATTATCTCGCCTGGTGGTAAGATGATGCGGTGTATGATGGAGCACGTAGTCCCATAAGCAATCTACTCACTCGGGCCTTAAATACACCTAAGTATAGCCTTCAGGAAATACAGACTCTGGTAATGAATTCCACTCCTTAGCGGTATGCACATAAGGAAGCTTGATGCGAAGCGCTTCGTGCGTTTAGGTGGGACGTCTACCATGAAATGGTGACACTTTGCCGATTGTCTTGTGGTACGATGATGGAAAGGAAGTAGGGGGAATTAAGTCAGACTGCAGGGTTGCTGGGCAACTGGCTGCCGCGCAACGTGTCGCGGGTTCGATTCCCGCACGGAACAATTCTTTGTGTGATCCACAGATTGTTGTTCCGGGTCTGGGTGTCGTGTATGTGAACTTGTATGTTTGTAAACACCCACACCGACGCAAGAGAAAAACCTAGGGTGGGGAAGCGTTTAAAAAAACCTATTGTGGGGAAACGTTTAAAAAAAGCCTAAGTGTGGGAAAACGTTTAAAAAAAAGGTGCGCAATTACCCCGCACACTCACCTAAATGTGTCCGGTAAAAAACCGATAGGCTTGCGACCTTACGCCTGTGTTCGATGCTTTTACTTTCTCCCTTATGAAGAAAGTTTGTCTACCGCATTAAGTTATGTAAGCTCTGTATTATGTCCTGTAGACGCAACCGGTAACAGCCCGTACCCTGGAGACGTTGATCCGTCTGTCGACAGCGCACGCCAAGTGTCGCCTCAGCTCACAGATCACGCAGGATGACGCGCACGCCGCCATCGAACTGGTGCAGTTTGCGTACTTCAAGAAGGTAAGAATACTAATTTAGAGAAATCATATCACTTTATAATAATAGGTACACATCAATAATACCAATATCAGTTTCAGTTTCGTCGTTCGAGTATTGTCATACATGGTTTTTTCGTTACTTTAACCATTTTCGCAACTTACGCAATGAAAGCTAACAGAGAGTATAACTACCACGTTAGCTACGCAAGTTAACCGCGAGCAGAAGCTAGACAATTAATTAATGGGGTTCTACTGAGTAATTGTCATTAACAATGACAACACCTTACTAAATTAATATTGTAACGCTAATTACATAACATTCGTATCCTGTATGAGTTCTGAATGCAATACATAGGATTCATTTCATTGTTCAGACTGCAGTAGATACTGATCAAAAAATTACATTGATTTAAATATTGAAATTATATATATTTTAATTAAAACTATCATTAAAATTTTCGAAAATACTCAGTAATACTGCGGACTTATGTCCAGTGTAATAGCTATAGACACTGTTATAAAATGGCAGTGTGAGATAGTGATTCAGTACCTAATATTGGATTGGAATGGGTCGTCAGGTTTTAACAAAAGAGAAGCGTCGCAAGCGCCGCGTGTCTGAGGATGAAGAGCCAGCGTCTGATGGAGAGCAAGCAGCGCCGCCGCGCGCTAAGAAGTCCAGGAGAACGGTAATTATACCTTTTTATACACAATACACGTCATTGCGTCGGTTCAAAAGTACAAATTGTGTAAGACTGCACGGATGACGCAGCAGCCGGGACACTGGCTGCTGCGGAACGTGTCGTGGGTTCTGTTCCTGCACGAAACAACTCTTTACACAGAGAGTTGTTCTGAAGCTGAGTGTGATATGTAGATGTGAATTTATGTTTGACACAACCCAGGAGATAATCCTAGATTGCAGTAACCACAACCTTCAATAATTAGTTAAGCTACATTTTGGAAGTTGCTTCAATAACATGTGTTTTCTCTTCAGGCGGGTGCTCAAGGCGAGGATCCTTACACGTTTTCATCAGATGAAGAGGCGGAGCCAGTACTGCGGGCCGCGCGCTCCTCACAGCCAGAGCCCACGCAACGATCCACCAGGTCTTCACAGAAGACTATTGATACTAACAGGTAAATGCCACTAATTCATCAATCATTTAATTAATTGACATTCAAATCATTATAACTTCAAACAATTTTTGCTTTTTACAACTGAGATAATATGGAAGTCACCTATGCTACTCGTAACACATTCGTAGTATGCAGTTTTATTTTCACTAAAGGTGAGCTTTTATTTAACTCTTTCAGTCTTGGTGGTCACTGTAGCTAACCACCTTTTCTTAGAAATTCAATTTTTGAAGTATGCTTCAAATTACTTTGCATTGGTTTTTAAGCATTTCAGTATAATTGAATAAAATATATTCGTAACCAGTTAAAAGTGTGACTGAAAGAGTTAAATGAACTCACAAATATGAAGTAGAAAGGCTCCAAGGGTGCATTGTTATACTCATTTAACTCAATTTTACAATTTACACCTCACTAATAGAATAAATATGATACTTTGTGAGCTTGTATTTTTTACTCTTACTTTACACAATTAGCAAACACGTAAAACGACTGAAGAGATCGAGATTAAATTTGAAATAGTGGTAAATTATGCTCTGGAATAATTAATAAGCTACTTTTGTGCTACGGGAACGCGGGCGAAGCTGCTGGCAAAAGCTAGTCTTTTAATAACATAAATAAAACGACAAATCCCTTTACCTCACAACGCTATTTAAACAATATTCCACATAAACTAAACATTATTTACTCTTTGCAGATTATCTCAATTCAAATCAGCGTTACACCAGCTGTTCAAAGAGGAGCGAGCGAACTCTCTACCTTTATCCCGCGTGACGTCATTCGTCAATGACAAGTACTCGCACGAGACGTTCGATGATGCTGAGATACTGGCCGCGCTAGACAAGATGACACAGGACAACCAGGTGATGATGGCCGATGATATCGTCTTCTTGATCTAAAGGATATGTATGTTACCAGAGACCAACCATGGCCAGATTTTTACGTAGTAACTATAAGAATGGAGGCTGTATTTTTGTTCACCTGATGGTGCTAGTATGAACCCCTCGTTCTTCGTATTAGGTAGAGTTCCATCATTCGACGTTCAATTCTTGACAGCTAGTGATTAGACAAAAATACTTTACTAGATTAACGCCATCATAACGCCCCGTTCAGAACATACAGTTCTATTTTCTCATTGTTTTATTACAGTTATTGCCATCATCCGTTTTAATCATGTCTACTTTGCTGTAAGTAAACATAAGAATTAGCAAAGGTATTTGTATTAAACTGTCAAACACCAAGCGGTCACCGGTGACCGCAACCTATTGTTCTATAATTGTGTCTGTATCCACGGTACTCGACGAGTTAATATTTAAATGAGAACTTACACATACGCAAACTTACGTTCAAGCCACGTCATTATCTGGTCATCATTCGTGCTGGATTATACTAGGAGATGTAAGATCTGTAGCTAAACTCGCTAGTGGTATAAACCTTAGAATTGTTAAGTTTATGATGCGCACGCGCAGGCGCAGGTGGTGTTGTTAACAATAATGTTTGAACTGTTTTGTTTCAATTTGTGGACATTTTCCCTCAGTTTTTGATTCAAATTTATAATGACTAGTGAAGTTTGCAGTTGTTTAAACATAATGTGCACATAATAATGCCTTATATCTGTGTTATATTATTATATTCAATCGATATTTCACACCATAGTTGTGTGTACAGTTCAATTTAAGATCTATGTGTTACTACTTACTTTAACTTTAAATCAGATTTATATAATCTTCATCATAATTATAATTTAAGTTCTACAATACCCAGTTTATAATTTTGTACCTATGTCGTAAATAGTTCCAATTTGCTACGGTCATCACGAAATACTATTCCCGCCTATAATTAGGACAGTTATTTTGTATTATCGCAATTGTTTTCATGTTACTGTTACATAATCTTTAGATTTAAGTGCCTTTTGTACCTAATTATGTAATTCATAAATCAAGGTTTACAATAAAACATTTGATTTTTACAAACAATATTTTGTAAATTTATTTAAATACACAATACTTAAACCTATATGGTTAGATGTTTATTTCCTGCCTTTCTTTCCTTTGCCTTTACTAAAACCTCCCTTTCCAGACTTATTTACTTTGCCTCCAAATACTTTTTTCTGTTTGTTAAAAGGTTTTTGTCCATCGTTTCCATCTCTCTGGAACTTTCTACCTCCTTTCTTGTCGTTCTGGAACTTCCTGCCGCCTGGCCTATCATGCTGGAACTTTCTGCCGCCTGGCTTATCATTTTGGAACTTCTTGCCTGCCTTATTGCCGTGGAAGTTTCTGCCGTCTTTTTGGTTTACTCTGAAAGGCTTCTTACCATCTTGTTGATTGTTTATTTCTTGACTTTTATGGAACTTTTTCTTTATTTTATTATCTAATCTCATCTTTTTGAATCCTCGAGGTCCTTCTTCGTCACCTCTCCGTTTTTTACTTGTGTCACGTGTGAAGAGGTCTATAAATAAAAATATTATAGTTAAAGATCATGCTAAGCACAATAGATTACTATCGAAATTGTTAGATGTTTCGCTTATTTTCATGACAGCTAATACGATAACCAGTGCTATGATAATTCCCACATAGGGGATTTTGCAAAGCGACCAGAATGAATATTGAACATAATCCGAAAACTTTATATCAATTGATCTATTTTCAACCAGTGAATGAGTATTGAATGTATGTACCTTTCTCTGGTTCGACGCCGACCTCCTGTCTGTAGTAGTCAGCGTCATCGTCCTCGTCATCCTGCTCCATATCGGCGTGCTGGGACTCTGCATTTGCTAGTTCCATCAACCTGGAGGATTGCAAACCAAAAATACGCATTGTAATAAAGGTTACTAAACAAAATAGATTTCCAATCATCCAGTCTGAAATTTACAGTGGGAGCAGCCTGTGTTGAAATAAAAGTAGATTCTACAATATAATATAAAACTATTAAATTCTTTAGACACTCTCATAACCATTTTCCATTTATACTCGTTCCTTAACAACACAACTTTATTAGGTCCAACTCTCAAGGAGGAGATAATTTCGCTGAATCAGGTGGTACTGGTGACATAAACATAAATATTAGAAAAGTCACTGACCTCTGACTTTCAGTCATTTCTTTCTTCTTCTTCATGCCCTCCAGCGCCTTCTGTTTGAGAGATTCCTTCTCTTCCTCTTTCCTTTTGACGTTCTCCTCTTGTTGTGCTTTTCGTTTCTCTTTCAGTCGTCTGAAATAGTAAAATTAGTAAGTAATTCTTATTTTAGTTATGTTCTCCATGTTGAGGCGTTTTATATAACTTACCTCTTTTCCTCTCTCCTCTTTTTGATCAACGCCTTCTCTTCTTCTGTCTTCTCTACAAGGTTATGGTATAGTACCTCACCATCCATTAAACCATCTTCTACCTGAATAAACAAGTTTAGTATAAATTTTGGATGAAAATTTAGTGACAATTACATCTACATTGCCTTGTTAGTGGAGTAATCGAACCTTGACTAGTTGAAAAGATATCCTAGGACCTAGTTCGAACAGTCTGATGGCGGACTTGGACTCCGCGGCTGCTCCTCTCGACGCCAAGTTCTGTGGCAGCACCACCTGCGAGTTTGGATCGTCCTCGAATTCACTTTCTGATAACATACCAGCTCTGGAAAATAAAGTCATAAATGAGAACAATAAGTCAAGGAAGTAATACATATTAGTAGGCTCTATATAAACAAAATACAACAATAGAATTCATATACCTACTTAAAAAATGCAATACTCACTTGTCGAAAAATTCCGACATATCCTTACAACGATTTAAGTTGGGAATTTTGCCTTGTACCATCTGTAAATAGAAAAAACAAACATAAAATATTAAATTTAGAACATAAGAATATTGAAAAACATGCGCAACAGGCAATATTGTTCATTGCTGGAGTAAAAGAATTACAAAACGACCCAATTTTTAATAACAATATCCCAATGCGGTATTTTTTATTTTTATTATGTGCGAAGATAAATTAAAATACCTTTTTAGTTCCTTTATTGAGTCCAACGGGAGTAGCTCGGATGGCGTAGTGTCGCATTTCAACAAGTTTTGTAGAAGGATTGTAGTTCATTAGTACGCAACGCCGAATGTTCTTTAGTTTTACCTGAAATTAAATATATTTGGATTATTTTTATAATACTTTTCGTGTTTAATCTATGTAAGCTGCGGGACATCGCCGTGTCCACGCACGCTGCTCCTGAAGAAGAACCCCTCTGTGGCTCGAAACTAGTAGAGCTTTTTTCAGCACATTCATGTGAGTGACCCGCGATTTGTAGTTAATATATTTGAATTAGTTGAAAAATACATACGTATTACCTAAAGTCGTTAACTGTTATCCTAGTTACAAAGAATTCAATGTACAGTAATTTCGATACTAGACTTGGAAGTAAAGAAACGGAAAACGTGTTTTATTTTATTGGACCTTAAAAAGCTTTGGTAATAACTTTCAATTTGACTGGTCCATAAGTTTGTTTACCATTTCAGTAGTAAGTACATCTGAAAAAGGTTATACTTACTGTCGTAATATTTATGGTGGGGAATATGTTCTGGAACATGGTGGCCATGAGTTTCATGTGCATGCCCTCCCCAGAGAAGCTGTTCAACACAATGAGTGGAGCGTGTTGGAAGGCGCGCATCATCACGTACTGTTTCCGCATTGATGATATCACATCGCGGGCTAGAGTGTACTGTAAGAAGATTAAGAAGTGTATGAGGATTTCCATCACAATAAAAAAGGGTTATTATTGATAGGAAGTGAAAAGGGTTAGTTTGTATTGACTGTCAATATTTGTATGGTATCCAGTATCTAATGCTTAACAATTACCTCGCCCCTGACATGTTGACTTCTGAAACTTCTACATTTTATAATATATATCTCCACTTTTTTCCATCATTTGCTTATTACAAGAAATTTTTAATGATGTGATTATGATTAGATTAAAGAAAAATTTGAATAAAGAGAAAAAGAATTACGGTGTATATTGCAGTTGCTTACACTATGTATCCGGAACGTGAGTGTAGGTCCGCGAGGCAGCCTCGCCATGCGCATGTACGAGCCAATGTCCGTCTCTGTGAACACCATCATGTGGGAGACATGCAGGTACCCTGATACTGACACAAAATCTTTTATTGTGTTCTTTTTCCTTTCCTGAAAATTAAAAATAAAATGTTTTGATGTTTTACTTTTCCTATGATATTAACCCATAAATCCCTAAGCGGTCACCAGTGACCGCTTTCCACTAATATTACATTACATTATAGACCTTATTTCTTATATTTAGAGACTACTTTTGTAGTATCAAATTTAGGGGGTGGATTTCAACGGGTTAAGTATGTATGTGTAATAATAATAATTGAAACAGACTCATTAATTCACACAAGTATGTTGTTTCTCTTGCTATGCTTGTTTGCTTGTTACATTTCATTAAACAAGATGTTCATTGCTAAACCTTGACTGTAGTTGGTGGTCACTAGTGCGACTGCCGGGCGAAGGGTATTGATTCAGTTCTCGGGTCGGGCAAAGTATTACTGGATTTTTTAAAGAAATTCTCAGTAGTAGCATGGAGCCTGGAAATATTGCCTGGTATATCGCAATAGGGTCACCCCCTATTACATGGCACTCATAACATTAATAGTGAAAAGTGGGTGTTACATTGTGCAGTGGCATTAACTACTGTAATGTGCACCTCTGTCTGCCCTTTTGGGGATAAAAGGCGTTATGTTATGTCCATTGCTAAACATAGGTCACCTCCAATGATCTCTAGATAGGCCAGTCTTAAAGTAACTTTAGTGATACAATAAAAGCACCCTAAACCAAAATATTGTTAAGTAAAAACTTTAACACAAGTATAGTTTTCACACATTTCAAATAGAATTCAATATAACTGAAGCAACATTATGAAATAGTGAGCAGATTAAGTGATAAACATGACTTTACTTAGTGTCAAGTGATTTCTAATATACTACAACTGTTGATGATGTCAATATATGGTCTGACAATTATTTTTTATACAAAGCCTTCACAGAACGACGTAATAATATGCATAATTCACAAAATTTCACAACAAAATCTAACCTTTAGTTGTGACGCTGTAAACGGTTCCATAAGCTTTCTGAAATCCTTCATGAGGTCGATGAGGTCTTTGCTGCACTGTCCTCGATGAATTACGAAGGAGTGAGGAGCCTTTACTAAATGCTCTGGCTCCAGAGCCTCTTTAGAAGACGGATTCTTCTTTACACACTTTCCTTTACGTTTACCCATTGTAAGTACTTAATAAACTGGTGTAAATAAATATTAATATAATTTTAAGTCACTATAATGAGTAAAATTATTTTTTGCCTAGTGTCCCACTCTGTCCAATAATATCCACGAGATTTTGTTTACTTTTGAGGTTAGGTTAGGACGAGCATGAAGTTTTTGACAATGACATTTTTGTGTCCCTCCGTTTTGAAACGCAATGTTCAGCAGTAGACAAAACCAAACAAGAAATCAGAAATGGAAAATAAAAAAAAAAACAAAAATGAAAAATGTGGAAACGGTTCGCAAAATTATATGGCAGAGTAGTCGGCGAACCAAAAAAAAATAAACAATCAGCTGAACATAGTACCCCCTCTTTTTTTTGAAGTCGGTAAAAAAAACTTATGATGTGGCGTGAAAATTGAAACTGTAGCCCTGTGAAACGTGAAACTAAACCAGGTTTTGTTTTTTAAGACTTCAATAAAAGGAGTTTCTACATTTGACCTGTTTGAATGTACGGTAAAATGAGGTGAATAGGGTTTGAGTGGCGAAAAGGGACAGAAGAGGGGTGAATAGATACTATGAAGAATTTCCTTATATCTATTTACCCCATTTTACGTGTCCCTTCGTCCAGCATACTCACCATGGAATCCTGATATTTCATGAATGTCAAAAAACTGTTCTGAAATAGTGCTAAATAGTGCCCAAAGGAAAAAAATAGTGCTCTTGTACTTGCGAAGTTATAGCCATAGTTCGATGAGTATGCTGGACGAAGGTTTCGCCCAGCATACTCACCTCCGTCCGGAGAATCTGTATACGCTTCAAACATAATTCATACTTCAAAAAATAGTTCCCAAATAGTGCCAAACGGTGCCCAAAAAGAAAAAACAGTGCTCGAATAACTTCGGAGTTATAGGCTTCGTTCAGTGAGTATGCTGGGCGTAGGTTCTACGCCCAGCATACTCACCTCAGTGCGCGAATATCGAACGAGCTATAGGTACAATTTACGTCTCAAAAAATTGTGCTTGAAATAGTGCCCAATATCAGTCCAATTTTTGCTTGACTTTTGACTTAGAAAACCATTAAATTTTAATGTAAACTTCTACATACTAACGTAAAATGGGGTACAGTCGTCGACACATGTTTTTGGACAAAAATATTAAACTTTCTAATTGTAGACTTCATGTTATTGGAAATAATTATGGTATTTTCTCACATGTCAAAAACTTTCGATTAAATGCATTATTATATATTTTATAAATAATAATAAATGAATGAAACTTTAAGCGTAAATGAAGTCTATTACTTCATTGCATTGTGTGTTTGTCTGAATAAAAACAGTCATTTGCAGCCAATAAATAAAAGCGTCGCGGGCGCCGCGCGTCGCTTTGTGACACAAAATGGACCCTTATCACCTTCAAAATACAGATCAGTCTTGTCTAATAATCGTAAGATGTTAGGGCAGCGCCATCTAGTATTTAAACATAAACATATTCATTTGCGTCGCGGGCGCCGCGCGTCGTAAGCCCCATACCTATTGACCGTACGTGCATCCATTACTGCCACACTATATTGAACTTTATCACATGAGGAATACAGGTCAATTCCGTAAACGTTGTGGTACCGTCCTTGATCCGGAAAATGATTATTTTGAATAATTTTGTCAGTTGTAATGTAAGCATTAATAACAGCAACTTTATTTTTCATGCATGATTTACTTCATTTGATATCTTAATCCTTCAAGCGCCGTGATCTAGACAAAATATATAAAATCATTGTTCCTAGCTACCGGGGTCCCATGCGACGCGCGAAGGCTTAATCATATTATTATAAAGTATTATTAAAATAATGTGTAATTAATAATATTGCGATTCTAAAGTAAATACTCCCTTACATAGACAATTAATAATTTACACAAGACAAAAATTGTTAGAAAGAAAGTTAATAATATTGTATTCGACTGTACTCAATGTAATGTATGTAGAAGTTTACAATCAAATTTAATGGTTTTCTAGGTCAAAAGTCAAGCAAAAATTGGACTGATATTGGGCACTATTTCAAGCACAATTTTTTGAGACGTAAATTGTACCTATAGCTCGTTCGATATTCGCGCACTGAGGTGAGTATGCTGGGCGTAGAACCTACGCCCAGCATACTCACTGAACGAAGCCTATAACTCCGAAGTTATTCGAGCACTGTTTTTTCTTTTTGGGCACCGTTTGGCACTATTTGGGAACTATTTTTTGAAGTATGAATTATGTTTGAAGCGTATACAGATTCTCCGGACGGAGGTGAGTATGCTGGGCGAAACCTTCGTCCAGCATACTCATCGAACTATGGCTATAACTTCGCAAGTACAAGAGCACTATTTTTTTCCTTTGGGCACTATTTAGCACTATTTCAGAACAGTTTTTTGACATTCATGAAATATCAGGATTCCATGGTGAGTATGCTGGACGAAGGGACACCATTTTACGGTACATAATATGTTTGAGCGCGATTGGCTGAACCGATTTTGATGCGGTTTTCAGAAAAGTGTGTTACACTTCAAACCGAGAGGGGTTTGAAGTAGGTTTTTAAACGTAATATATAAAAGAATTATTAAAATAACTGATTTGCTGACTCTGCTACCTGACATAAGAACAGGCAACTTTAGAATTGTTTAGTTGCACAACAATTATTATTTTCATAAAAATACATATTTATTTCTATTATTGTAACTACTTTTTACTCCGGCGCGGTTTCACCCGCTGCTCGGCGCCTACCGCTCGATTTTGTAGCTAATAACCATGATAAAAGACCTATCCAACATAAAAAGTATTGTTCAATTCGGGTCAGGATCAGGAGATTAGCACGTTAAAACAAAGAAACACATTTTTCACCTTTTTTAAGTAGATAGTTCATCAAACTTATTCAACATCTTAGATTCATGTGATTACATCATTTGAACAATGGCCAAGGATTTAAAAACAAGGAAATAGGTATAAATAAAACTCGTCACAACAAATCAAAACAGCTTTATTTCCTGCTGGTTCATCTGTGGGTTCTTGAAACTACACTAGGTATTCTTTGTCTAAGTCTCATTATGTATTTCAAGCGGTTTTGTTCAATTATTTACTTAGTACTTGGTTTACAAAACCTCTCCGTTTTGAGACCTTAGATTACAATAGCTTAAATGTTAAATGAATAAATACATAATTTCAAATGTGTTCTTGCTGAGTACGTAACATTGCAAGGTTAGTACCAGCACAGTAAACAAAGTTGAGTAATATGAGACGTAACAGCTAACCACACTATAGTTTCATACACCTTGAACTCGACTAGTTCACCAACTATATCCCCACTACCACGGTTTACTCGCACACTACAAATTCGATAGAGAGAAAGCATATGGTACAAAACATTGACTTATCACGACACGTAAATACTCAAGTAAACTCATGGTAGTGGTTCTAAATCACATAAGAATGGTTTTGAATTCTCTATCTTACTTTAAGTGCAATTAGGTGCAATATCGTTACCCACCAACTATCCTATTTTTGGGTATGAATTTAAAAAAGAAAGTGTATTTGGTAGCAAGTCTGACTCACAAAATTTTTAGTATGTTATTATCTAGCTATGCACCGAAAGCGGCTTGTCTGTCAGTGGGCCACGGACACGCTCGCACGAGCAGACGTGCGCGCGTGTCGCTAGCTGCACCGGCAGCGCTGACGCCGTATATAATGGATGAACCCCAACCAAAATATACAAAATATCTTACATTAATAAAGGTGCAATAGAAAATTACATAAAAAATAGAGAAAACATTGTTTCATTGAGAGGAACTAGAAACATTCAAATTCATTTGCGATGCGTTATTTTTTTAATATAAATCACAATAAAGAATGTTGCAGAGAAAGGAAGATTATTTTTGTAATTATGAAATATAAAAAGCCCCTATTTTACCCCTATTAAATTAGCTACTATCTATAGTCCATTCTATACTATCTCAGTTAAATACCGTATCATTAATTTTATTTAAAATCATATTTATAATGTGTACACATGAACGTGACCGAAACTAAAGTAACACTGACAAACTGTGCGAGAGCGTGGGGCGGTGGGACGAGCCGTGCCACTGCCACCAGCGCTGTCGCACCCACCAGGACGTTGGAGACATCGGATCCAACCTCAATGACCAACAATTCATATTGCCTTAGTATTCCGAAACTAATAGAAACCTAGCAGAAATAAATATAGCCGTCACAACTTGCGTTACTGTGTAATAAAATTAAAAATTATAAAATCCACATACAAAATCAGATGTCACGAGATCAGTTTGCTTCGAGCGCAGCAGCGAGTTTCTCAGTATTACTTTATGCTTCAAACAAACTGCTTATTAAAAAGACAATAGAATATGTTTATTTGTCGCACGCGTGGTAACGTAAGCTTACAGTAATCTAGCAATACAATTGCAACATTAATCAAAATATAGTTTATATGCCACGGCGCTGCAAGTAAACACACTCCCACACCGACGACCCTACACAATGCTATCGTGAACGATGACTTTAATATTAGGGTACCCTCGAATATATGACAAAACGGTACAAGTTGAAGCGTCAAGCTTTAAAATCAAAGTGTCGCGGAGTTAGTAACATAGATCGTTTAAACATTTATCAACTAGTTAAGTGCGATAAATTATAGGCACAAACTTTCTAACATTCATTTTAATAATTGAGATACCATTTCATTTTATATTTCCAGCTAGAAGTTCAAATGGTGTGATGTCATGGCCTAGGTAGTCTAACGAAGCCACAATAGATGATGAATGATTAATATCAATTGTGCCAATAAGTATATGTCCGCACCGCGCGAGGTTCTATTCTCGTGTGTATTCGGTAGAGATGTACCGGCTGCCATATGTTACACCAACTATAGTTAAAATAAATACTATTAGCACTAAAACCTAGGTTTCAATTGAGCTAACTTAATCGATGTAATTCATTCGTAATCCTGTAATAGGTATTCCATGCGCTTCACGTTGTAAACGTTGGATATAATGTAGACTAGTTGACTAATACTCGACTACCGATACATCCCTGAATGACTCTGTCGCCGCAGAGTGCCACCAGATGGCAGCACAGTGCGGCAGGCGGCGCAGAAGTCACCTCAACATCTATATGTAACAAAACTAGTATGAACCACTTACAAATGTGTAACCACTGAGCAGTCGTGGTTGAAGTTTCGCAATAAACTACAAAAAGCTACACTCCCTTCGTACAAAGCATCACAAAAATACTACAAAGAAACGTGTAGACGTAACAGAATATGTTAAAATCGAGCAAAATGATCGATAAATTAATAACAAAATATGTTATATGCAAAAAAATATAATTAAGTTGTCGCTCGCGGGCGATGGTGGAGCCCCCGAGCGAGTTAGTTCAGTCGAATGAACTAGGTATATTACAAAATCGTTGTGATGCCAAGTTGGTGCTCGCATCAGTTTCGTCCAAACCACAGCAGAGTCGTTTAGTGTTGATCCATCTGGAACATTGTAATATTCATTATAACACGCTTAACGTTTTTAATGCAAAAATCTTCAAAAGCTTAATTCAGATTAAAGTTAGAAAGATACATAGTTTTAGTATTTAAATTAATGGCAAAATGTTTGTTTAGTAACAAATTAGTTTAACCCTTTAAGCGCCGTGACCGTGAAACAACTAGTTACAGAGGTAATATTAGGTACTTTATCTCTTTTATTAGTAACAAGTTATATTACTCTCCTAAACAAAGTTGTAGTATGCTGCAGGCTGCTGGCCCGTTCAGTTATTATGGTGTGATGGTATCGTATAGTAAATTTTGTTTCGGCCAAAACGCATAGCTTATTTCCGACCTCAAACTTGGTCTATTATATTGTTCATGAATTATTTTAATTGACTCTGGTATTTTAGGGCATTCTCCTTTAGATAATTTGAAGATTTAAGATGTATATTTATTGATTTAGATAGTTTTCAATTTTTCTAATGATAAATTGAATTTCGAAGTATTTGAACCGCAGTCTGAGGGCTTAGTATGAGTTTGTTTTAGGTTTAAAGTAATCGTAACTAGGGCTCGTTCGGCGCTCTGACTGGTTGGTTTATTGGCGCCGGCCAATCAGAGGCCTTAGTACGAGTTTCATTTACGTTTAAGGCGCCAAAGAACCAACCAATCAGAGCGCCGAACGCGTACTCGATACGATTACTTTATACGTAAATGAAACTCGTACTAAGACCTCTGAATGCCGAACGCGTACTTGTTTCGAATACTTTAAACGTGAAACAAATTAGTACTAAGGCCTCTGAACAACTCGGGTCCCTACCTGTATAGTCAATCACGTAATATTACGAAATCAGGGGATGAGTGAATCTCATTAATATTATAAATGTAGAAGTTTCTTTGTTGGATGTTTGTTTGTCAATCACGCTAAACTACTGAACGGATTTTAATGAAATTTGGTATACAGGCAGGGTATGGACTGACTTAGGTGATAGGATAATTTTTATCCCGATTAAATGCTCCCATGGGATAAAAGAGGAATCATATTCTACGCGGACGAAGTCGCAGGCAACAGCTAGTTAAGAATATAATGGTTATCTAAGAATAATCAAGGCAATATTGAAAGAAATTATTATAACAATTTGAATAGTGTGTAATTTCTTAAAAAAATAACCACCGTGAGTGTTGCTTTAGTACAAGTATCTGCACACAATGAAATATGTTAAAGTTTAAAATAAATTGAATGTTACTGATTGTAAATAGGAACACAACTATTTTTTTTTGTCTATGGCGCCATTATTGTTTTCTCTCTCGTTGTCTGTCTTGTAAACTCATTTTCGTTTTCTAACAGCCAAATAAATTTCTATTTATAGTTAAAATACGTTTTTATTATTAACCACAACTACGAATCGTAAATTCCTGTATTTATACAAAATAGAAAGAAATCGATAATATGGAATGTCATTAGTGCAAGCAGTCACCTACACACACAGCAACCTGTATTAAATATTTTTTAATCGAATAATGGATTACCAAATGGGAATAGTTGTAACGATGTGAAATCATCATTAATTAAATGTTTAAATCGACAAAAAAATACTGTACAAGCACACGTAGTTAAATAATTGATTGAAGACTGATAATGGAAGATGAAAATAAGTAAATAAAACACTTGATACATTAGACATTTATTTTTGTTAACAAATTATGCATCGATGTGCGGTATTCCCAACACTATTACAAAGGAACGTAGCGCTGGAGGTGAGTCAGTGGTAAGGTAAGCAATATTTGGCGGTTAAAGGGTTCAATATTTTCATTTATTGTTTTAATTTTAGTTTAAGGTTATTGAAGATCTTGTACATATTTATGTGAATAAAATCTCACTATTTCAATAATGTGGCGCTGGAGGTAGTCAAGGGTGGTAAAACTTGACGGTTAAAGGGTTAAGACTTTGTATATTTATGTAAATAAAACCAGACACCTTACTGTTTAAACTTATCAAGATTTTATCATGAATGGCTGATGATTCTCACGTGGTGGTAATAAGTGAGTACATACTTGTTCCTGGCCATTGGTCTCCTGTGACTTCATCACGTCGGGCAGGTCCGGTGGAGAAGAGTAAGGAGTCAGATCCAGTGGTTCAAACTCGCCATTTTCCTTCCTGTACAAATATAAACAACAAATACATTTCACCATAATCTTATCTTACTAATAATATATAAATGTAAAAAAGTTCGTAAGCTTCTGTCTGTGTGTATGTTTGTTACTCAATCGCGTCTAAACGGCTGAGGGGATCGAGATGAAATTGAAACAGGGATAGATTTATGATCTAGAAAAACACACAGGCTACTTTTTATCCCACAGAAACGCGGACGAATCCACGGATAGAAGCTAGTATTATATAATCTATCAGTATGTTTATTGTAAGTCAGTTAAAATATTATGTTGTGTTATTAGGTCATAGACAGGAAACGTGTGCTTTATCAGCTACACTGTTAATTCACATATGTTATTGCATCCCAATTGCTATGTACCAGGTACAAATCGATGTCGTGGTAAATAGTTATAAGGGGTCTCACTTGTAGACTATGTAGTTAATTTTAATTAAAGTAAGTCCTTAGATGAGTCTTGTGTAATATAGAACGAACCTATAACCAGGTCATAAATAGGTCTTTATAGGACCCGAACACAGGGAAATCGTTGTCAGCAGACATGTTTCGGCCAAAGTGTTTGAGGTAATTATTAAACAATTAATGCTACTGTAAATTTGTAGCATAGCAACGAATCACAATCCATGACGCTGACACTATTTTTAATATTATTATAACTGTACGGTTCATGTGAGCCTCAGCGGTTTTGGACAGTAAATTGCGTTCTTGATATATTCAGTACAATTATTTGTCAGCGTCGTTATATGACTGCCTCATTGGCCGAGTGGTCGCAATTGTGACTGTCGGACATGAAGTTTTGGGTTCGACTCTAGGGTCGGGCAAAGTATCACTAAGTTTTTAAAATTTCTCAGTAGTAGCACGGAGTCTGGAAATGTGCGCGGTATATTGCTATAGGCACACCCCTTATTAAATGGGACTCATAACATAAACAGTGAAAAGTGGGTGTTACATTGTATAGTGGCGTTAAGTGCCGTTATGTACACCTCTGCCTACTATAAACGGCGTGATGTTATGTAATGAATGTTATTTTTCAGTTAGCTCTTTTGTCATAACGAATGGTTTAAGTACCTTGCTTAGTCAAAACAAAAACATCAAGAAATTACTAATCAGTCAAGTAATCTAAAACTTAAAATATACCTAATAACAATTTTGTAAGCATTTAATATTATAACGAGCAAAGACATTAAACATCACTGAGTTGAAAAACTGCTACCTAATGGCTCAGCAATAAGAGCGATTATCGCGACGCAAAGTAATGACATTCGTGCTAAGCCCTAACTACCTATGTGTGTGAGCAAATGCAATGGAATCATTCTAGGTAACACTTTCATTACATGGCGTGTTCAGGTCATGAAGTAATATGTGGAGTGGTGCAGTGTTGGCTCGAAATCGATATGGTGTCAAGGCAATAAAACCAATGTCATTTCATTTATTTACCGTACACTGCAGGGTCACACCTAGTTTTAAGTGTATGAGACTTTGCACTGACATCAAATATGTACTTGTAAAGTAACGCAATGAAGAATAAAATCTGTGCCTCCTGTGATAAGTGATATAACTCGAGTTGTACCCTTTTTGTGCATTTTCACATGAGCATAATCAAAAAAAAATTACGTCTTTTTTGGTCTAACTCACGTTCTTCTATCTGCTATAGTTTCGGAGATAATTTTGTGCAAAGTGATACAACTATAGGGATTTTGGCAAAAAAATCGTGACAATCGATATTTGTTAAGTTGTAACTCCAAAACCGGTCACTTAACAAACTATTTTTCGTGTTTCGTGATTTAAATGCTATTGTATTTAACTTCACATTTTATTTTTCAGTAAATTTATCGTGAATTTTGATGTGACTACAATAATATCCATTTGGACTAATTCTTTCGATATGCCTCTAGGATACAAATCGACATGTACCTACAAATTTGAATGTAAGGTATGCCCTTTTTTTATGAAAAGTGATACAACTTGACTTAAATCATTCTACACAAATCTGTCTTTATGTGTAAACAGATATAAATATAGTTGTATCTAAAAATCCAACCAATTATAAAAATATATGATACAAAATATTAAATGTGCTAAGTGATACAAGTGTAGGTGGCGGGGGTTCGTAGGGGTAATCGGGGTAATTTTTTTCAGCTAAAAGCGTTATCAATACGAGAGTATTGATAAATTAATGAAATTGGCTACACTAAATCAGATATTGAAGAAAAAGATTTTGATACAATTTGAAAATTTGATAGAAGAGTGGAGCAAGAAACAATTGAAACGATTGATGGGTCATGGCACCGGCGTCCAGTAATTGCAGAAACGATCACTGACACAGAAAAATGTAATGATATCCAGGAAGAAGGTAACGAATCAATAGAGACGCAAGAAGGAATAGAACTAGTTGAAAAATTGCGGAACCCTACAATTGTTGCGGAATAGTTTTCAATAAAAATAAGATGAACAAGACTCAAGAACATTCTTCAAATAATCTATTCGATGATTTGAGAATTTCAGAATCATCTGATGATGGTGATTTTTGAAGAGGGCCATTCGATCAATTTATAATCTTAGTCCGAGGGACTCTCTCAGGGAACTATTTAAAGAAATTAATATAGGTAATGACTGTTGCCTTTCAATACATTTATGAAAATGTAGTATATGCGCATAAAAACAAAAGTTTATTTAAAAAGCATAGTGATAAACACAATATCAACACGAGAAATAAAGACAAATATGTTGTTCCCACTACTAGACTAAAGAAAATAAGTGCTTCGTTTAGATGTTAGAGTATACGCTTTTACAATAAAATTCCCAGCCATATCCAAAATTTAAATCTAAATAAATTTAAAAATGTCATTAAAGATAAATTTTATAGTAAAGCTTTTTATACAATAAAAGACTACGACTACCTAAATGATAGTCGGGCTTAGGAATACGCTGCTGTAACGTCCACACAGGTCATGTCGACATGTTTGTAACATATAGTTAGGTACATTTCTTTTTTATATGCAATTTGCCATTATTGTTTTAATGTGACATTGTTTTTCATTTGATTTTTTTTTATATGTTGTTCTAACTTGACATTTACTTTTTATTTTACAATTGTTGGTGCTAGGACCGTGCGAGACTTTGCCTTGCCATTTCTTTTCTAACTACCCATATTCTGACAGTTTGAGTATTAGTGCGACCCACGCAAATGTCCTTTATTTTGGTATTGGTCGTCGAATCAGTCAGCCTCACCTGTTAATTGAGCTGACTGTAAACCGACACATGCGTACTGCCTTCAGAACGGGTCCGCTCAAACTTTTGTGGTTCTTTCCTCAAAAGGCCACTACAGAAAGAACTTGCACGGTTCTCACAAATAGTCTGTTACACATATTATTGTCTGGACTTTAAAAGAGACGGACCTCTGAGTTTGTTTCGGCATTTCTTCTCAGAGTAGTCAGTTAGGAAATGTCGACCTCATCGTTCGCTTGATAAAATTGACATGTAAAAGTGCTGCCCTGTAGCCTATATGCAGAAATAAATGTACTTGTTTCACTGTTTCACTTGTTTCCTTGGATCTTTTACAAGTGATGAATATATTTGCAATACTGATGAATTGTGTTCATTCACTGATGATAAAAGAGTACCGGCTAAAAAAAAAGAACGGCTACGTCGTCATTGATGAGACAAACCTCCAATATTACGATTCCAAAAACACCACCGTCACCCAGGAACACATCAGAGAATTCCATTCCTGGTTGCTCTTTCTGGGAACGCAAAGGATTTAACAGTGCCGGAAAAAAGAAAAAAACGCGGGAAAAGTGACAAAGACAGAAGACAGAATAGAGAAAAGAGAAAACTATTTTGTAATACTGGCTTAGAATATACAACTTCGTCAGGGAAAACAAAGGAACGTCGGCAACTTCGTGAACTTCAAAACTATTTTTATTATTAATTAATTAACCCACAGTTTAATTTAATTATTTTTAATACTTTGTATAACACTGAGTAGGTAAATTGCTAACTGTGATAGCTTATCAAGACTGATCTGTGCCATTACTTAGTTTTACTTGGTTTCAAATTTTTGTCTGATAATTATGTTCCTTTTGAAAATAGTTACATTCGTATAGTCATATTGTGATGTATAGATCTCCATTTAGTTTTATAAGAATTTTGATAAAAATGTGCCCTAACGGCTGAATTTTTGGTTACTAAACGTTGATTTTTTATTTTTCTAAAACTTGTATTTATTTACACATATCACTATCTTTTTTTTGAGGGGTATATCTTGACTTACATCATTTAACATATCTTCTGAAAGACTAGGATTTTAGTAAATTGATATAGTTCAGCTAAATTTTGTAAATAGGTGACTGATAAGTAAAAAAAATAAATCTTAAGGGTTATATTTTCATCTTTTGTTTTAGCACATTTTGCTAGAATCATTATTCTAATGAGTTATTAGACATTTTAACTTCATGTATATCAGTTTACACTATGACAATTTTTTGGTGTAAGCTTGGTGCAACGTAATTTAACTGTACAAGTATCATTTATAACTTAATTTTAGCACATAAAAAACTAATTAAAAGTTACAAGTCGCAGATTTTCATGAATTACTTCCAAAATTAAACATCTATTAAAAATCTAAATTATATAGAGAAAGAAAACGTTTCGATCTACCAAAGAGTGCACTGATATTTAATCTAGCCCGCTTAATTAACGAACTAGATTTTTTTAAATCTTGTTTTCGCTGTCCTGTAAAATGACGTTTTTAGACATGTATCACTTATCACAGGAGGCACAGAAATTATTGTAGAATCATTTGTTGACTGCACGGTTGGCGCGGTGGCTGGGCAACGGGCTGCCACGCAACGTGTCGTGGGTTCGATTCTCGCACGGAACAACTCTTTGTGTGATCCATAGATTGTTGTTCGGGGTCTGGGTGTCATGTGGATGTGAACTTGTATGTCTGTAAACGCAGCCACGACACAGGAGGAAACCCTAGTGTGGGGCATTTAAAAAAAAAATTGTCATAACTTTTAAGTGTGGGAGAGCCATGCTTCGGCACGAATGGGCCGGCTCGACCGGAGTGATACCACGGCCTCACAGTGAAGCAACAGCAGCAAGCAGCTTGCGTTGTGTTTCGTCGTGTGAGTGAGGTTACCGGAGGCCCAATCACCCCCCCCCCCCCCCCCCCTTCGTCGTGTGAGTGAGGTTACCGGAGGCCCAATCACCCCCCCCCCCCTTCCCCAATCTCCCCAATCCCTGAATCCCCAACGATCCTCAAACTCCTAATCCCCAAAATGCCGGTAACGCACTTGTAACGCCTCTGGTGTTCCAGGTGTCCATGGGCGACGCCGATTGTTTACCATCAGGTGATCCGTCTGCTCGTTTACAACTGTGTATTTTACTTACAGACATCTTTTCAAAGGGCTTAGTTTGTTGTTAGTTTGTTTAGAGTATTCGAAACGAGGCCGCGTCCGGCGCTGTCATTGGTTGGTTCATTGGAGCCGGCCAGTAAAACAAACTCGTACTAAGGCCTCAGTAATATTGTTAAATTAAATATCGAACGCGACAAATACAAGCCCTTTTTTAGCCAAAATTATTTCACCTCTACATTTATATTATTAGATGTATTTTGATGTTCATTTTTAACAGCTTGTGTACAGACTCGACTGTTTCTGTCTCATTTCACTTCGAGGCACCTGATTAATTTGCCTTAACGATTGTCCAGCAGTCTTCGCTACTTATTATTTTAAAATAAACCAGGAATCGATTGTCAGCATCGAATCACTTGACTCACTAGATGGCCTTATTACGCCACAGTGACTCTTTGACTTACTCTTCTGATTGTTTTCAGAGCATATAACATAATAAGTGGCGTAACTATATACCGGCCTCAAGTCGTAGCAAATTCATTTGATTGCCCCCCGTGCCCAACAAAAAACAAAGGAATTCAGATAAAAACCTCAGAACAGAGCCCCTTCCGGCTGGGACCCCGTGACATTTTGCTGACTTGCCACCCTGTAGTTACGCCACTGCATAGAATAATACTGTCTCTATACATTTACTGTTAAAAGTATTTTATGGAGTAGGCATTGATATGTACAAGTGATTGACCTTCACACAACATTTCAATTACACAGTGAGCTATCCAAACCTATTCTAGCAAGTCATACTTTTATGTAAATGCTTCAGTCAGCTGCTAATTGATGATGACAATTTGTTTTCACCTGAACCTAAATAGAACCTTTACTGAGATGCTACTTTTTAGTAACATTCTTCAGCATCTTATTTTACTATGATCTTGTTGAGTATAATCGGTACTGAGTTTAACCCCTAAATCGGATAAGTTCCTTTAAGTATTTTAAACTGTCAAACACCGCGAGGACACCGGTGACCGCAACCTATTGTTCTTAAATTGTGTCTATAATGACGGTACTCAACAAGTTAATTAAAACAACAATATCAAAATTAGTTACTAGTGTATGAGAACAGCTTTTTGTGCCTATAAAGAATAGGGTAGTCTTTAAATGTAGGACTGATAACACACATAGCTATGTCTTCTGGCTGATACGTAATGATGATGATATTGAAAAAGTGTGTATACCTTAAAGCCAATCCAATTGGTGCAGGACTTTGGGCCTTGGCCGTAGCCGATGTCAGGCCATATTCAGCCAGGGTCTTCTCATCGTCCATCAGCTGACTGTCCTTGTTGAACAGCATCTGACTTTGTGGTGTCACTTTCAAGATACCTGGTGATTTAGATAACAAAATCTTAAATATTTGTGGTGATGATACAATAATGGATAATTATGATGTAATTGTACATTTAAATATAATTTACATTCAGGTCCAATGTATGCTACATTTTCTAAAGCAACTCCACCTAAAGACACATTATTTACGGTTTAGATTTTTATAAATGAATATTCTATGCCATTCTAATTCTATTGACAAATGTTTTTTTTTTAAAAAAAACAGCATAAACCTTCTGTAAAATGTGTACTAGTTATTTAGAGCAATAATGTAATGTACTAATAACATCATAATGCTGGCAATGTAATGTCGGTCATATCTTTTATAGCACTCGTTTGGCAATGCAGGTCCAATTCTTGTGAGTACTACATCTGAAATAGTTTCTTTCAATCCAATTATGCTTGTAGCTAAATTGAAAACATTTTAAGTATAGTTTTTATGAAATTGTACAAGGCTACAAGCCTTTTATGATATTTTTACTGCAATATTGATAAAACATATCCTTTAGTTTCTTTCAGTTCCTTTTTGTATGATAACCGATTAAACTACCATTGTTGGTTATCTTTACAGGAGTTGGCTATTATTATTAGGAATGTTATCATAGTCAAAAGTGGAGAAAAAAAAGATCCAAACAGTAACAATATAACTTTTTGATGTGCTTTCATCATTCTCCACTATGTTTATTGAGAGTGGCTTAGTTATCTTGCTTTATATTGATTACACTGACACTGTAATCACTGACCAAAGTCTAAACACACAACAATAGTGCACTTCCTAGGAAACAGTATACACTTTCTCCGAGTATTTATTCCATAATTACTGCCAGTGAATTATGCTAACACTTTTTTTATTAGGTCATAAACATACACATAATGCTTGTTTTAGCAACACACCTGGAAAATAAAACGAGTCATATTTTCCACTAGAAAAAATGTCGCAATTGAGTACATTCCCAGCACATTAAACATTCACGAACAATGAAGAATAACACAAGGCTTAACAACAAAAGCTGCGCTGCGCGCCCGACATTGTATCCCGACTATAAATAGAATTTTCTCATATCGCGATAAACGCACCCACCTTCTATCATTTTCTTCAGTTCTAAAACCGTTGTCGTGTCCTTCGCGTCAGTGAAGATGGTTAATTTTTTTCGCCTAATCATGAGAAAGACATCCTGAAAACAAATTCCATTTTTGAGGTTACATCTTTCAAGCGAAAATCGCACGTCAATTTAACACTGATTACACAATTCTTGGATTACAGTTACAGACAAATGTATACTTCTGGAAACTTACCATTTTTCGTATATATTTATTTTATATTAACTATTTATTTTTAGGAAAAAACTCTCCAAGGCGTACCTACGAAACGAAATTATAACGAAATGACAACTGCAAGATTCCACAGATTACTAACTTCAACTAACGCTGCCGCACTGAGTTACGTTGCAAAGCCAGTGTGCAATTAATCGAATCTGTGCACTAAACTAAAAGCGACAATGATAATAAGTATCATGCATGCTTATAAAACCATTATTATTAGGTACCATAAATTATTGAGATCAATGCAAAAATAATGCTGCTAAATAAACATAGCATATTTGTTTTGATTACATGAAATGAAAAACCTCCCTACTTCTAAGTAGCAAAGAACAAGGTGCAAGGAGAGTATCAAAGTTTTTTTGCTAAGTAAATGGCCCATGCTCATGAAATAAACGTACAAATTTGAAATACCCTTAAAATGACAAGTAGATCGAATCTCGATAGTGAAGATTTAGATCAATACAACGTCCTTAGATATAGACAGATTAGATATAGTTCTAAGGATGTATTATTCATTATCGGTCATTATTTTACCATTCACAACGATCACTGTTAGGACATGTTTCACTTAGAGTCCTAGCTAGGGCCACATAGGGGCCTAGCCTTAACCTAGCCCATTCCCTTCCATCCCTATTGCGTAGTCTATGGATTTTTACAAAGTTTGTAAAAAAAACTGATCAGCGGTCAATGCTCACCACAGACTATTAATAACAGCTTTACGCGTCAGGTTCGTTCAAAAGCAAAAAAATATCATATTTAATTAAGTAATAAGTTCTTTAGCAGAGCGTAATATTTCGATCAAAGGATATATTGTTCAGTACTTATAAGTAATAATATTTCTGAAAATAAAACTTCTTTAATTAATTTGATTTTTAATCAAGAATAGTTTGATAATTGTATTTAGTAAATAAAGCTTTATTTTTAAAAACTTCCTTGTTTTCGAACGTATTAGCATTTTTAGCTTTGCACTTCGGGAAATGAAGGAAATATTGTTTGATGTGTTTTTATGCTTGTAGTTCTATTGCAATGTCATTTTTATACTTAAATAAAACTCTTCGTGTCATTCTTGTAATGTAAATTTATATAAAATTGGTTTATACTTTAAGTTCTGGGATAACCTCTGATGAGTTTTTACAATATGAACCCGCAAGTTTGTACGAATTGCCGCAATGAAAAGCCTGTAAATGCGACTGATAACCGGCTGGTAACAGAGAGTTGTGGTCATGTGAAATGTATGAACTGTTTACTGCATGAGAAGACTGGGTGCCAAGCTTGCCTTAGTGAGAAATCGAGTCTTAGGGTTGATGAAGCTTTGAACGAGAGTTTAGACGAGGAATTTGCGGAGGATAGTCCGCCACCAGAGACTGACAACTGCTATGATTTACTGGATAAGGAGATACAGGGTGAGATCTATGATGAGTTCTGCAAGAAAAAGAAACTGGAAACATCACACATTAAAGTGGAAACTGGTAAGATGATGAACAGTTTTTAAAAATTAGCTTATTGATCGGAATGTCAAAATGCTGCTTTGTTTGTAAACAATGTAATGATATTCCATAGGTTTTATGTTTTGCATTGGGAGTTGCAACTGAAAATATCTGTGAGATGGAATCACAGTTTTTTAGACTTACTTTAAAATGATAAGATAATTTTAAGAAACTTCATCAAGTTCATTATGGGATCTTTTCTGTTAATTTATTATAGAAGTCTTGATGCTAATAATAATTATTATGATGATAGAAATAAACACTGATTTCTAATTTATTTGGTTTAAGATGCAAATGGCAAAACATTTGTATGTATGGTGTGCAAGAAGAAGTTCCATGCTCCTAGTCAAGTAGCTTACCATGCTTACTGCAATGGGCAGCGGAAACCGTACCAATGTCCAGAATGCAACAAGGTAATGTACTTTTTGATTTTTTTTTAATTGCAACTAAGTAAGGTAATATCATGAAGGATACTTTTACAAAATGACAATTCCCAAGCCATTAGTAAATCTAATTAGTTTGTAAGCTTTCCCAAAAATAAATAAATTAAATAAAATTAGCTGACTATAGAACAACATGCATCGCAAGATATATGTATAAAAATACTGTATTATTTTATATTCTTATAGTTTTATCAAGCATTGTAGCAATCCCAACTTGAAGTTTTCCAATAATTTTCAAGCTGATAAGCTGGTTGGAAAACAAATTATATGCTTGCAACCAAGCCATGTCTATTCTAAACATTGGATGGCACTCGCCCAAAGCGTGTCTGTATTAATGTAATCTTGATAGTTTTACCTGCATACCATTTAATTTGACTGACTGTACCGAATAAAGAAAAGTCACAGTCTCATCTGATGGGAACTAGTGATCATTATACATAATTGGGATGATGACAGGGTATGAAAATTAAAAATGTAATAGGCCGTAAGTTAGGTAATGATAAAATATTAGACACATATTTTTTTACTTTGTCGTATAATGAATAATAGCATTCGAGACGCTAAGGCTCTCTTTAAAAAACTAATTAAGGCCCATTACCTTTCTTCATGAATACAGATATATTTTATTTATGTGTATTTTATTTAGTGTTATTATTATATATTAAGTATTTATATTTATATTATATTTATTTATAATACAGCTATTATTTAGTTATAGTTTTTTTATACATATTTCTTATCTATCTCTATATGAAAGAAATGTAATTAAAACAAAAGACACAGTGTGTAATACACATTTCCTGTCTCAGGTCTACTGGAAGAAATTCCAACAGGAATAAGTAGCACCTTTGTACTCTTATTTATGTGTTATCCTCTGTGCTGTTTGTGTGTACTTAAATTATTAAATAAATAAATAAAACAATACTTAGATAAAACGAATCAAAGTTTAGGAGTCCCCTCTAAAACGTCATTTCTATGTATAATATGTTCATAGAAGTGACGTCACGCGACATTTCAAATCAATATATCGTCGAAAGTATTCGTTTCTGTAAGAAAATAAAAAATATGTGTCTAATGATTTAAAATAATCTACCAGATGGACATTAAACTGTCAAACACCAAGCGGTCACCGGTGACCGTAACCTATTGTTCTATAATTGTGTCTACAAAACCGGTACTCGACTAGTTAAAATATAAAATTAGACATCTACCCTATTATGTACATTTTCTTCAATTTTTGCTTAAAAGTATAAGTAATAAAAAAAATTATTTTATTTATTTTTATTAAAAATAAATTAATAATTCCAATGTATGTTTCAGACGTTTGCAACCATGTCGCATTACAAGTACCACATGCGGGTACACCGCAATGAGCGCACGTACTCTTGTGATGTTTGTGGCGAGGGATTCTTTCAGATGTCCAAGTTGCAGAGACATAAGTTGAAGCATACTAGTGAGTATTACACTACTTCACAGGTCATCGTATCTGCCACATAATAATATGATGCCAATATGTCAGCTAGATGAGTTCATTAGAGGCAGGGAAGCAATATTTGAAAAATTGTCAAAATAAATATCTCAATACCTATGCTTTGTCCTAACCAAATCCAACTCTAAATGGCCTGCTCATTTCTCGGTGATCAGAAGCGGTTTAAAAAAAAGGATCTAATTACAAATTCTACTCTTGATGTTCCTACTTTGCGGAAGATCGTTACTATCTCTACTATATATCGAGGGGTAACGGACTATTTGGTTTAAGCGACATTTTGGGCGATTTTGAGTTATTACATATATTCGACGGAGAAAGATTCGCTGATTCCGAATATATATATCACTCAAAATCGCCCAAAATGTCGCTTAAACCAAATAGTCCGTTACCCCTCGATATATATGTATAGTAATATATAATAATAAAATATTAAAAATATATATATTTATATTTACAATAGTCCGTTGTATGTATTCTGTCATTTTAAAAATTATATTAGATACTCGTTGTCAACTTATTGCACCGACCACGCTCTCACTGCATCACCTAAAGGTTGGCTAGTAAGAATGCCCATGGCATTAAGCCCGCCTATGTACTCTTGTTGCATAAAGTTAAATAAATAAAATAAAAATATCTCTATCAAATCTTATCTTATCTTACACTATTATATAAAGCGGAAGAGTTCGTTTTTTTGTTTGAATGCGCTAATCTCCGTAACTACAAGTTTAATTTGAATAATTCTTTTTGTGTCCGTAATCTCAGGAACTACTGGTCCGCCTTGAAACATTATTTTTATGTTGGATAGTCCATTTATCGAGGATGGCTATAGGCTATAAAACATCACGCTACGACCAATAGAAGCTGAGCAGAGCAGAGCGTGTGAAACCGCGCGGAAGTAGCTAGTAGTATTATATAAAGCTGAAGAGTTTGTTTGTTTGAACGCCGTAATCTCAGGAACTACGGGTCCGCCTTGAAACATTATTTTTATGTTGGATAGTCCATTTATCGAGGAAGGCTATAAAACATAACGCTACGGTCAATAGGCGCCGAACAGAGCGGAGGCAACCGGTGAACCTCGATAAATGGGCTAACCAAAACAAAATGTATCTAATTATTTAAAATAACTATCCTGAGACATACTAAATTAACTACAAATCGCGCGTTACTCTCGTGAATTTACTGACGGTCAGTAGGCTGCGCGACATCGCCGCGACCGCGCACGCTGCTCATGAGGAAGAACCCCTCTGTGGTTCGAAACTAGTAGAGCTTTTCTCAGTATATACGTGAGTAACCCGCAATTTTTAGTTAACAAATTGTATTATTTAATTATTAGCGCGTATAAGTATAGGTCAATTTGTAACTTTATTTACAGAGGAAAAGAAATTTGCGTGCAACGAATGCAACAAGGCGTTCAACAACCTCTCGTCTTTACGTAAACATGGCCTCACGCACACGGACGAGCGCCCGTTCTCCTGCCCCACCTGCGGGACCCGGTTCCGAGATAGTTCCAATCTGAGGAAACATAATATACGGAAACACGGTAAGACAACATCTAAGTTATTTTCATGTCTCAATAAAACCTTCATACTAATTTTATAATAAATAATTTTAAGATAAGAAAGCAGTGTTGTTCTAACATCGAACGCATTCGCTCTTAGGTTAGTTAGATTTTAGGAGTTACCATGTAATTTTAATTATAATAAACTTAGTAAAATGATTATAGTTTCCATTTGCACCCTCTGTCGGTGGCAGAAACATAACTTTCTTAAAAGAGCCATAACAAGAACTTAATAGTTTTCTGGTGGCAGGCATTTAGTAATCAAAGATTGACACCCGTATACAGAAAGACTACTCAATTTTAAGTTGAACTTAAATGTCGTGCCATAATATCGTTTGGAAGATCTATTATACCTACCTCTTATACAGAACTATACGTGCGAGTTAAAATTGAGCGGCGTTGGGGTATTTTGACGTGAGAGCAATAATAATTTAATTAACTTAGGTGTTCTTGTACAATTTGCGTATCTTCTAAATAGGTTACTTGTAGGCAATTCTGCGTCTTCATCGCCCGCGTCACAGCTTAACACCAAGAGAGATAGAAGTCTAGCCGAACCTATAAGTTATTATGAAATAAACATAAATTGCATTTAGTACAATAAAAAATTCAGCAAACAAAAAGCAAACAATAATTTTATAAATACTATAGGTAGGTACATGTTAAATTGTAAAAGTAGTTTGCAGTCAATCATCTGAACAGAGGCCTCCCCCAATGACCTCCAGATAGGCCAATATCTTGTAGTAAATGGATGAAAGTGTTGTTCGAATTTATGCATGGTAGTATGTCGTAGAAAGGAAGTGCGCTTGCGGCGGGTGGGGCGGGTGCGTGCGCGCGGGGTGCGGGGGCGGCGCGGGGGCGCGGCGGGCCGCAGCGCCTCGCGCCGCACCTACCAGTGTCCGCGCTGTCCGCGCGCCTTCCACTCCGGGAAGGACATGCGACGACACGCCGCCGTCCATACAGGTACGACACTACATTGACATTCACACTGACAAATAGGCAAAGTTATATAAACATTGATATCTTAATTTCTTAATATATAAACAGTTACAGAAGCACTAGGCATCGTCTTATTTCCAATCGAGAAGAGCCTTTTTTCCACTCACGATGCTAATATTTGTTTCAGATTCCAAACCCTTCCGCTGTAAAGTGTGTAGCCGCCGCTTCAGAAGGAAAGACAACCTCGAGCGCCACATCCGCAACACACACCCGGAGTACGTGCCTGCAACCGCGGTGGATTGCGACGAGACCATCCTCAAGCAGATCCAAGCCAACGGACACACCACTAAACTTGATGACTACCAAAAGGACGAGAAGTTTAAACTAGAGATTATGAACCCACTGCCACCTCTACCAGAGGAACTGATGCAGAAACATATGCATGAGACCGACAAGAAGCAAGAAAATGCTGATGAAGATAATAAGATAGATAAGTCGTACATTTTGGTCGCTAACAATGCGCGGCAGAGTGTGATCGTTGGCAATAAAACTGCTAATGTAGAAAAAACCGTTGCAAATTCCCCTGAACATTGCGAGTATGTACATAAAATCAGAAAAGCTTCCATTATACCTCTACCTCCGATAGATGTGCGGAAGATGATAGAATTGGAGGAACAAACTAATTTAAATAACTTGGATCTGGGTGCTCCGCCTAAGGATAAGAAGACGTTGTACGAGAAGATTTTGTATGGAGATAGAGATAAGAAAGATAGTGAGGAGCCGAGCGTTGATTCAGGGCCTGAAGTGCATTGGAGAAGGAAGTTGAAGCAATCCGTTTCTATAGGTAAGGCCATCAATACCACATCAACTCGTAGCTGAGGTCCATTGGCAGTGCATTCACTTGTCGTTAATATCAAACACCGTGCCATTACATGCAGAGAAATTGAGTGTTAAACAACCTAACCTAGCAATATTTACTACTTTCTAATCATCTGAGGCCTTAGTACGAGTTTCATTTACGTTTAAAGTATTCGAAACGAGTTCGCGTTCGGCTCTCTGATTGGCCGGCGCCAATGAAGTAACCAATCACAGCGCCGAAAGCGTAGTCGTTACTTTTATTAAAATGTCAAAAACGATATTTTTCTATGAATTTTGTATTGGATCGCAACTTACGACGTTATCATATTTCTGTGTTAAATAGCAAACTTATTTCCTTAAAATTAGCGAGAAAAAATCCAAAAGTAGGTAAATTGTCAAATCAATGGATGATAGTATGATTATTTTTTAATTATTTATTGCATTGAAATGTTGAAACAATTTGTTTTAAACCTAGGAAACTAGCCAATTGTTAACTGTAGAATAAAATTGACATTTGACAGTTTTCAGTATGGAAGAATTGTCAAATATTCAAATTTATTGCTCAGTTAACATTTATCTGGCGTTGGAAAAATAGGCCCTTAGTCAACTGAGCAGCATTTTTATTATAAAACTAGCTGACCCGGCAAATTTCGTACAGCTTACAATTGTTTTTCTTACCTTTTAAACCTTCCCTGGACTTTTACCAACATTTCAAGACCAATATTACCCAAATCGGTTGCCGTTGTCGTGTTTTAGCGAGATTAATGAACGGAAATTTATGTTTACTTACATATAGATAATACAACTTTTTTGCAGATATATAATGAAGGCTGAGTCGAAGCAGGGTTGGCGGGAAAGGCAGTTACGGTGGTATACAACAATTTTATATGTATTTAATGCATATTAAGATATATTTCATGACCATAAGGACATTTTATCCATAGAGTTCTTTCCATGTATTAGTACCGAGTTACTTTTTTTAATTTTTTGAGTAACTCACAGTAAGTTTGAGCGATAAACAAACTTATTCATGTTTTAATGTCTCTGTAATTATCTTTAGCACTAAAATTCGAGGTTAAATACTTTTTCACATTTATTTTTGAAACACATTTAGTGTTTGCAATTGTTTAATGGTTCTATTCTGAATGGCATGCAGTCAATGTTACTAATACTAGTTTATAAGTGCGTCCAAGACGCGTTAGGTTAAGTAACACTACAATACATATTATTTGCTATAGTTATTATATTATCCGTATATATATGAAATCAGATTTTAACAAGTTATACAAAACTGTTTTATATTGAAATTATTATGAATTGGTATTGTACGATAGAGGACCAAATAAATATTGTTTTTTTTTATGTTTGATCTCGATAGTGGTTTTAATAATGATTCGTTTTTAAAGGAAATGTTGGGCTGAATAAATGGGGCAAGAGACTGATTGTAATGTGGGTAGAAAGTAAGAATGTTTCCAATTTTGCATATAAAACTGACGAAAAATCTTGAAATAATACTTTTTTATTGGAAATATAAGTAATAACTTGTGCAATTAAAATTTTGTTTTAATTTAATAATATCAAAAATGCTCATATTTTTATATTGGTCTGCCAAAACTGTATTTATGTGATAAAAATCTGTTATTTTGAGTCTGGAACTTTGAACAAAATATAAATAAATGAAATATATAATATTAGTTATTAAAATGTCGACTGAAGATCATGATCTCTGATGTAAGTTGATCTCACGTATTTTAAGTTGATGTTTAACATTTATTGTGAGGTACCATGTTGCATAAACTCGTTCACTTCACCCTACCGTTTAAAAAAAACAATAAACATGGCGGCTTCGAATTTACCGCCAAAAAGTTTAAACAAGTAAAACAATGTCTACAATATTAATAATATAAAAACGAAACTAAGGTTGTGATGTATGCTTCATACATACTTTTCACTAGCAATAATAATTAAGTAACACTTATCAGATAATTGCATTATTGATTTGGTAATACTCAATGTTTATACTAACTATCGTGAGACATACTAAATTAACTAAAAATCGCGCAGCCTACGACATCGATGTAGGCTGTGCGAAATCGCTGCGAATACGCACGCTGCTCATGAGGCAGAGCCCTCTGTGGCTCGAAACTAGTAGAGCTCTTCTCAGTATATTCACGTGAGTAACTCGCGATTATTAGTTAATATTCAATTTTCTTGTAAAAGTGCATTTTCTTGTTAATTTTTATAACCCAGTTTCTGGTTTTCGTATTTTAAGGCAGTTGTATAAATCAAGCCTGTGATCAACTATTGTATACTACAGGAAATTTCTCGTAGAATAGTTTAATGTGTAATAAATTATGTAAACAATGTGTAGCTAGTGGTCAAACGTCGGCCCATCAAGTATATAAAAAAAAATTGCTAGATAGGAATATAGGACACAAGTGGACGAGCCGCGTTACTAAGTACCATAATGTAATAACGAGCCCTTTAGTCATCCATTAATATTAAACTGATCGTCACTCTAACATGGAATGCGTATTTTATACTATTCGTATCTGTATTTTGCTATATTTTATATAAATATTCCTAATCTACGTGAATTTAGAGACAAATAAATGCATTGAAACGATATGGTGTCTTTTTATTGTTATTTATCAGTTGTGATCGCTACCTGAATGTATTGCCAATTGAAACAATATTCTTGGGTTGCAGCCAATTTTTTCTTGTAGCGCATTAGGGAAAATGACAGAGACGTATTTAGGACTATGTGATAATTTTACGAACATTTCACGTTTTTGTTGTATAATGGTTTTTGAAATATGTAGTTTGAGCTTTGTCTTGTAATAGATTAAAAAAAAACGATATTTACATAAAACCATATGCCGTCTCAATATTGTATACTAAAAATTGAGTTTGCATTAATGGAATTTCCGCAATACTTCCAATATTATCCTTGCAAGTTTACATGCTGAAAAATACTGAACTTTCTCATTCTTTATCCACGTCTAGAACAGCAAAAACCCCTAAATCCATCTCTGCCAAGTAGTTCAACAGATAAATCACAGGGAAGGGAGTTATGTAAGCTCGGGCAAGCCCGTTGTATTCGTAGTTCACAGTCAATGTTACTATTGACGTCCGCATTCTACACTATGGACATAGTTGCCGATATACAAGATTTGTACAAAGACAATAAATGGAGGGAAATAGTGGCTCGGTACCATGACCATCCAGAAAGGAATAAAGTCTTGTGGGTGTACCCTAGTGAAGGAAACTTTAGTTTTGTTGAGAATTGCTTGGCGGAGTTAGGCTGTGACAGGATCGTGAGCATTGGCTGTGGCAGCGGACTTCTTGAGTGGATGATCACTCAAGCAACTGGTAAATTTATCTACATTTATTTTTATATTTACCTAATTTTTATATTGTAAAATTCGCAAAAAAATTAATAGAGTAATCATGTTATTTTTTGTAAAATCTCGTTGTCTGGCTATTAGATGCAGCTGTAATGTTTTTTTTAAATAAATAGTGCACAACAGAATTTATGTACATAATTGCGTTGCTGACTTTGCAGGCGTGCCAGTTTCGGGCATTGAAGTAGATGGGGCGTGGTGGAGCTGCAAGTACGCCCCACCAAATTTCATACCACTGCACATCACACCTACGGAAATGGACAAGGAGACAATCTCTATAGTTCAGAGAAACAAAAATGCTGCTCTACTCTTTTGTTACTTTAACAATCGAAAAGCTTTTGATGATTACCTCAAATATTACGACGGCAACGTGCTGATCATCATCGGTCCCCACGAGAAAGCGGTCCATACAGACCCCAAACCATTTGATGACGTCACTGACATTTGGACCCTCTACAAGTTCCAAGAAATAAGAAACAGCGGGGACTTCATTGTAGTGTATAAAAAACAAAACGTATAACACATTCCATTTAATAAATAAATATTTACAACGATTAAGTTTAACAGTCTTTTAAAAAAATATCTCGGTCTTAGAAAATATGTAAATAGGCTAGTTTCCAACTAGTCAAATTCAATACTTTTTATCGAAATGTCAAAAACTATATTTTCTATGAATTTTGTAGGAGATTGTGAGTTCATAATATTTTTACTCTGATGTGCCGAAAAATACAAAAATTAAATTCATCATCAAACCAATTAATGAAAGATTTTGAATATTTTATTGCACGGAAGTCGAAATAATGTATTTTCGACAGAGGATTCGAGGAAACTACCCAATTGACGAAGTCTGACCGAGACTAAACGCAGTATACAACAACGATATGCTTGTTAGGCAACATTCTCTTTAATTAATGATACATGACTTTTATACATTTAACATACAGGCCTATAAATACTTATTTACAAAAATTGCCTAGTTGGTCGAGAGGTCGCAAATGCGACCAATAAGGCAGATCTACGCAGACAATATAAACTTAATAGGGTTTTCCGTTTTAATCCTAGCTTAAAGGCGACGCACTGGCGCCTTTTTATTTTTATATTGTACCTATTTTAGGTATAAACTTATTTACTCCATTTTTTACGTTCACACCCAAATATTCTGGTACACTAAAGTGATTAGTCTAAAATATACACTTATGTAAATGTATAGCTACACATTAAAATAATACATTAAAGGTAATTACGTATAATAGTACGAAAATATTGCCTAACAAGTAACAGGAGGTATTAGCTACATCACAGAGGGGAAGATTCATAAGAGCAAAAATGGAAATCTCATTAATTCTTCATGAGTTCAATATTTTTAACATTTATTTTGTTAGTGGTCAGTCGCACCGTGGTATTCATGATGGGGTCCATTACACTTTGAGTGCACCCTTGGTTCTCACTAGCAGTGTTTAGATTCCCTTCACTAGCAGAGTCCAGCAAATCCTTTTGGTTAATACTGGGCACCTCACTGACCATCCTGTTGAGATCGTCTGGTTGGAAGCCAGGGTCGCTGTCCAGGAAGTGGAAGTCATTGTGTGGGTACAACCCTTCTAAATTGTAGTATATGTCTAGCCGCGGCAGGAGCTTGTTGTCGTCAGAGTTGTCATCGATCTCTATTACGTCATTCTGATCATCCGATATGGGCTGCAGGCTGACGCCAGTTAGGTCCATGAGCCCGGACGTGTACTTCTCTCCCGCGCACAAGTTGTCCAGGAAGAAATTGTCCATGGACGTTATAGCAGGAGGGTTCGGTGCCTCGTTATTGATCGCCAAGCTATAGAAAGAATCAGATTTTACTTCGTTTTTAATTTCGCCTATGTTCTTATGTATTTCTTCAAGCGGCGGTGACGCCTTATATTCGCGGGTTATAGCAGAATTGTTCAGAAGATTGGCATTACACATTCTTTCCAAACTTGGCGACTGCGTATTTTGTTTTATTGTGCTCTCTAACTTGATGTAGCTAGGGTCATTCGTTTGGATCTTTTGCGGTGGTGGAAGCATCGTCATGGCATTAACATTAATTTGCTGGTTGAAAGAGAATATCTGGGGGTTATTGCTGATTTCGGTATCGACAGGCGTAGTCACTGCGTCCGCTATCATCGGTTCCTGGGGATACACCATTATATCCCTCGGAGACTGACTCAGTGACGGCTGAGGCTGCAGTTGCATGAACTGTGTCGTGATCAGATTATTGAATGTGACAGGGCTGGCCAGCCCAAACCTCTCATTGTCCTCCAGCCTCCTGAATGCCATCTTTTGCTGTGAGTGGAACATGTTCTCTTGATCTGGACCTTTCAGGATAAGATTGCTCTTTACTGATATTTTAGGTTTCTTTCTCGGTACTCCCTCCGGATCCATGGATATGTTGACAGGAGAGTTGCTGGACGAAGGTACTGGCAAGATCTGCGTCGGTTTTATGATTCCTGTTACTTTAGCCCCAGGAAGAGATATCTTGTCGCTAGGTTTCAGTGTTATATTGTTCCGCAGGGATATTAAGGGCGCGGGAGGTAATCTAATCGGGAAGTTGGCCATGATGTTGTTGTTTATACTGTTCGGAATCGAACAATGATTGGACGTATGAGGGCTGTTATTATTTTGCAGAAGGTTTTGCTCCATTGACACAGACGTATTTAGGAAGCCGTGTAGATTAGACGGGTTGCCATCGTAGGTAAGCAACGGGTGTTGCGCTTGGTACTGATGCCTTTCCATCATCGTGTCGTTGGAGCTTTCGGAAAGGAGGCAGTCGGAGTTGTTGTCCTCCTTGCTGAGGTCGGTGACCATTAGCTGCGCGTTGAAGTCGGGCTGTTGAGTGTTGTTGCTTGTCGTGTTACAGAAATTCTTCACATAGTTCTGCGGCAAGTTCTCTGCGTAGTTGTCACAGTCGTACACTTCTATTGGTATCTCATTGACAGGTTTAGGGCATACTTCTACAGGCTCAGGGTTAATGATGGTGTTTTCGCTTGGTTTCTCTGCTTCGCTAGGTGGTATTGTCCACGTTGGTTTGACTTTGTTCATTTCTATGAGTACTTGAATACCTTCTTTATCGGAATGTGTAGTCAGATGTTGGAAGTACTTATCCTTGCTGATGCACTTGAAGGGGCAGTACGGGCACCGGTGCACGTCACTGTCGGTGACGTTAGGATGCTTGGAGATCATATGGGAGGTGAACAGTGTCGACTGTATGGCTGTATATGGACAATGCTTACATTTGTAGACATTCTCCTTTGAATGTTGTTTCTTATGTCGGCGCAGACCGTTATGGTCAGCCGATCTGTAGTTGCATTGGTCACATTGATAAGGTTTATCTCCTGGAAAGAAGCACAACTTAATACAATTTTGGCCTGATTTGTCAGCAAAATGGTTTCAAGTGCCATCAAGTCGCAGAATATCAGCAACATTATTATTGGAATGAGAACTGACTAGCTTTAATAATATAAGTTTTAAAGAACAATAGATAGTCTAGATACATACCAGTATGTGATCTTAAATGTTGTTTGAGTTGTTCCTTCCTGGCTGTGGAGTAATCACAGATCTCACACTTGAAAGGTTTGATCTTATCATGGACCTCCGCAACATGTGACCTTAGTCTACGTTCATTGGAGAACTGACGCTGGCAGATGGTGCAGCATAATGGAGTCTTAGACTCCTTGTGTATAAGTTTATGCTTGGAAAGTTGATTGGAATTCTTAAAAGCTTTCGAACAGATTGGACCTGTAACAGTTAGGTGCTGTTATTATAGTGAAATCAATAATGAACGGGATCGGCAAAGAAAAATGTTTTGTCATAGATTTAAATATAGATTGATTTAAAAGCCAACAATGTCAACTGGAGACTGTAAAAATACAATAAAGTCTACATAAACAGGAGTAATAATATTAATAACAGTTATTTAATATGTTAGTAATATATTCAGAAATGTTTCTATGCAATAAAAGAGAAAGAGTAATAAAGTCAACTAAAGTACTCACATATGAAGTCTTTCAGTTTTTTGTGACAATTCATGTGCACATTATAAAGCCTGTATCTATTGTATGTCTTGAAGCCACAGACATCACAGGTTGGCAGCTCCATATCCACTTCATGGATCTTCCACAAGTGTGTGTGCAGCATATCCACACCGGGAAATACTTTGGAACACTCTGGACAGACTAATTTACCATTCTGATGACACTGTCTGTGATATGCAAGAGTCTGATCCTCCTTCAAACAAGTCCTACATCCATTTACTAAGCACATAGTTCCAGTTTTCTTCTGTGCCTCCATGTTGTTCGGTTTCACTTCTTCCACAACTTGGTCAGCTTTAAGTAATAATGGAATGTGTGATAAATCTTTATTTTGAGTTGGTGACAGAGTTGCATCAATGGGACTTGAACCTGGTGGTATTGATGCTATCAAGTCGGGAGGTGCTGTGCTCACCGGTATCACATTACAGGACTGGTTCACTGACCCTACATCAGACACGCTCACATATTGCGGTGTCTCATTCGTATAAACTATATTTATACTAGCCTCTTGTATTATTTCTTTAGGATCAACCTTTTCAAAGTTTGGAGTACTCATTTTATGTAATTCATCAACTGATATATATGCCACCCCTTTTGGCAAGTTGTTGTTGATATTAACAGCATCAGGAACTATTTCTATGACTTGAGGCATCTTTATATCAGCTATATTTTGTGCAGGGGTGCCAATTTGGCCTGTATCGGAGACTTCTGCATTAGTACTTTCCGTTTTTAATTTGGCATTTTTGAGAGCTATTTGTACTAGACTTTTCACCATTTTCTTAACGTCTCTGAAGCCCATTTTGTGATGGTTACGTAGATGTGTCCTCAGAGTCTCCTCAGCGTCAAAGATGCTTGTGCAGCCTGGACAAGGGATTTGAATGTTATCTGCCAGACCATTGCTCTTTGCTAATTCAGGATGAACAGTGAACAGATGAAACTTAATATCGTCTTCTGCAAGAGCCATGTAAGGACAGGCTTCACACTTGAAGAATGGAGTTGATCCCACTGACTTTTCTTCATAAGACATGACCTTCTCCTTGGGCATAGGTTTCACTTCGTTTAATCTTTGATTTTGCATGTTATTTACACTCATTAGAAAGCATTTACCCGACATGATTCGCAATACAAAGACTACTTCAAATATATTTTAATTTTGAAGATACAAATAAAAAGCAAAACAATGCTTTTCAAAACAGCTGTAGCCATGCGATGTGATGACCACCATTGTGGTGGTTTTGAACTTCCAGCTATTTAAATAAACAAAAGAAAATGTTAAAATGTTGTAACTATGAACAGATGAGACTTAGATATTAGCAATTTTATTAATTATTTTACATGGTCTCTAATGAGTTTTATTTTTTTATTTGCTCAATCATTGACACTATTGACATATTGACAGATTGAAGGAAACATCACATTATCACATCATGTTTTATCTGTGAAATCCATAGATGTATAATAAGGGATCTGAAATATGGTCACGTGATTTGAAGCCAAAAATACCTCAAAAATGGCGGATCTCTGCCCACAATAGTGTTGTACCTACGTTGACATAACATATCGACATACAAATAATAACTTATCATTGCGTTTTCCTGTATTGTTAAACAGTACGCTGGAATGGGGACAGGGCTAGGTCAGAGTGCATTATCAATACATAGTATAAAACAAAGTCGCTTTCGCTGTATGTCCGTATGTATGCTTAGATCTTTAAAACTACGCAACGGATTTTGATGCGGTTTTTTTTAATAGATAGAGTGATTCTTAAGGAAGGTTTGTATGTATAATATATGCATATTGCACCCGTGCGAAGCCGGGGCGGGTCGCTAGTAATGAATAAATATCAAACGTTTTGCTGATTATAATAATATATTCATGGCGAAACAATATTAGTTTTTTTAAAAGATTTTTTTTTGATACATTTTATTCATGCTTTTTGCCGTAATATTTATATCTTATATCTAAATATGTAAGAATAACAGTTTATGAGAACTCTCAGGTTCACTGACTCTGAAAATTTGGCCATTTTCAAAAAGAGTAGGAATTACTTTATCTTTGAATCGAATAATATTCAATGTTCTGTTCACTTCTTCAAAATGGTTGGAGCACATTGTTAATACTGATGCATATTTTATGTTCTCCTTGCCTATTTTTTCCATCTACAACTCCTCATTTCATTTTTAAGAAATCTAAAATAAAATTTAATCATCATTAAGTGCAAATTCAATAAAGTATACAAAAGCAAATATAAATATTATAGTTGTGCATTTTAGGACGTCACTCAACTCTCAAACATGGCTTTATATCAATATTTTCATTTAATACAGTTAAATATATCGTAAATACTCGTGAACCAGGCGGCTATGTCAATATTATTGCTAATACTGCTATCGATAACTTTATAAAACGAAGATCAGCACTATGAATAAAATGTAAACAATTAAAATGTTTACTAGTTCAATTTATGTGATAACAGTCTTATGAAAGTATACATAATAGCAGAAAATCCGAATTAGAAGTGATAATAAAGACATATCATAATTTACACAAGAAGTTTACATAAATAAAGAAAATTAGAACTAACCTAAAACATTACAATCCTTCTCATTTTTACGTGACTTTGAATTACATCCCTTGATACAACACTTGCTCATGATAGTTCGGTTCAGATTCATTTCACTTATTGGCAAAAAAACTCTATTATAATTGAAACAGTCCACTGTAACACCGAAAATATCACCAAAAACCGTATTGTTGACAGATGATCTACCAAAAAAACATGAGAGGAGTGTGTCTCTCTTAAATGGCGGAATGGGCCTCAAAGCGGAGCTTGGTGACGTCATAAGAAAAATGTTACCAGAAATTGAAGTTTATGATTTATGCTTTTCTCATTTTACATATGAAATTTACAACGTGTAAGAATGAGAGAGATATATTTTTGTTGATGAGGTTCATATTTGCATATTTATATAACCAAAATTGTTTATGCAACTTGCGGCTTATCCTTCTACATATTATATACACATATATATACATATTATATGCACATATTATACATCTATGGTGAAAACTGATGGTTAGGATTAAATTTACGTAGATTCACAATAAAAAAAATAATATACTTTTATAACAAAAATCACAATTGAAAAATAGAATTATGATATTCTATTCTATAGTTTAAGCAAAAAAAGGCATTGAATCATGGAACAGAAAAAACAGATATTGAAACAGACATTGAAATATAATTAGTAAGTAATCCTATATTACTAAAAGTCTATGATACATTTTGACGTTTTGGTTTTTCATAGAAGTTGTCGATGGCCGGCAAATTGACTGACGTATCCCTTTGATGACAGTGTTTAGCATCGTGTCGTGTAATTCTTATTTAAAGTTAAGAAAAATACCTCAAAATGAGTGTGAGTACATACTTATTGGAGAACATCTTATATTGTGTAGTTACATTTCGATTCATAGTGAGAATGTTCATTGTTTTTTCAGCTGGAAATTGAATCCATGGTGCGCTACACGTCTCCTATCAACCCGGCAGTTTTCCCGCATCTTACTCTTCTCCTCCTCGGTATCGGCATTTTCTTCACTGCCTGGTTCTTTGTATACGAAGTTACTAGCACTAAAGTGTCGAGGGATCTGTTCAAAGAATTGTTATTGTCGCTGGTCGCCTCCCTATTTTCCGGCTTCGGGATTCTTTTCTTACTACTATGGGTGGGAATTTACGTGTAATATTGTAAAGAAAGTTAGTTTGTAAGCTATGTACAGCATTCCGAGAGTGTGTCACGAAATTGATTCTGTTCAACCTAATACTTGTTTGTATTCATAAAGTTTATATTTAAGAAAACAAGTGTTTTACTTATCTGTGAAGAGTTTATTGTTGTCTGCCTATTATTATTTCTATTCAACAATTCTTAGCTTATTCACAAACTTAAATACATTCCTTTGGTCTTTACAATAGTAAAAAATAATTATAATATAAAATAATACTGAATAATAAATAAGTGCAATAACATTGCAAATATTTTTATATTTAATGTATTCTTTCTTATAAGAAAGCAATAAAATAAGAGAGAATAAATAAGTTTTGCATAGAAAATAAGTTTTGCATAGGTATATACAAGATACCCAGATGCAGTAGAACAATTTCTGTGGATCTCACAAAGAGTTACTCCATGTGGGAATCAATTTCACTACATTTTACATGGCAACAGGTTGCCCCGCTACCGTGCCAACCATGCTCTTAAGTTAAATCCTGGAAATATTTAAAAATAGAATCTTGATCATCATGGCTGCTTTTACAAGTCTTACATCACATAGACCCAAATATTTTTAAATTAGTTAAATATAAGTAGTTTCATATACAATTTTACAAAACTATGTAGTATGTGGTCGATCAGCTCCAATTAAAAAAACAACTAAGTACTTTACTTTTGAACTACAAAACTTTGTTTAAGTTTTCAGTATTTTCATTAGGAAGGTTAAAGAGTTGTTCGGCTAGGTTGTGCTGTTCTCTCTCTCGGCGGAATTCGTCATCTAGTAGCACAGTCTGGTGCATGCGACGCGACGCCAGTTCCTCGATGCGGTCGTACAATGTCGAGTGAGACAACACGAATCGACTGCTTGATAAAAACATAAACGATATTACCTACTTAATATATTAAAAAAAACTACAAACCATAGTCTTAGAAGTGGTGCCATTTTATTTCTGCCCACCCACAGTTGGGCTGGTTTTAGTGTCGCGCTGACCGCACGCTGACCGTCGGCGCTGACAGGCGAGAAATATGAACTTCTAGGGACCGTGCGCGCTGATAGCTACGCGTCATTAAAAAACGCTACCTAGAAGTTCATACAATCTCCGCTGTCAGCGCTGTCGGTCAGCGCGACATTAAAACCAGCCTTAAAACACTGTACAATGTAACACCCACTTTTCACTATTTGTTTTATGAGTCCCATGTAATAGGGGGAAAGTCGATTGCCATATACAGGGCAAAAATTCAGACTTCGTGCTACTACTGAGATCTTTTTAAAAGACTCCGTATTACTTTGCCCGACTCGGGAATCAAACCCGAGATCCTTTGCCCGGCAGTCGCACTTGCGATCAGTCTGCCAATGTAGCAGTCATTGAGGCAGCCATTGTTAAGACTGCTCAGTTAAATCGTAGCTCCGACACTTTATCAACTGTGCATATCTTGGATTGATTCATTCATACATTTCAACTGTTTGCTCTACACATCTACGATTTAACTATACAGTTCGGCCGTTCAGCCTTCACGTCAGTTTTCTGTGAAGCCGTGGTATGAATCTGGTCGAGCCAACCCATGGCTCTCCCAAACTTAAAGGTCGCAAGGTTTGTAGCGTATATTACAGACCATATTATATAGTTAGCATGTTACGACCATTGATAACTTAACCGAACAATTCTCGTTTTATGTTTCAAGTCAGACCTTCAGTTTCCTACGAAATCACAATCTTACTTGAAGTCAACTGCATCAAGTCTATACAGCTGAGTAATCTCGACGGCGACCACAGTAGCTATGCGCTTGCTATCTTTCATCAGTAACGCTACTTCGCCAAAATGGTGGCCGTCCTCTAAGTGACACACCTGCGAATAAGATTGTTTTGGTTGTAGGTAGGTGAAAAATGTAATTAGTAGGTTACCCAATTCTATCTGTAGCTACAATCTACAAACATAACCGATTTGGTCTAAATGTTGGGTTAAGAAATTTAAGGAGTATATAAAGTAGGTACTTGTACCTACATGGGTAACTAAGGTACTGATTCTGATTAACTCTGAAGTGTCAAACCCAGTCTCTAATTGAAATTTGGATAAAGAATGATCACCTCGACTCCCTTCAAGGAGTACACAGCGACAGTCCCAGTGGCTATAAAGTACATGCAGTCGCCGATATCTCCCGCGCGGACCACCAAGTCATTTGACAGGAACACCTCGGGGCGCAGACAGCCTAGCACTGTGCCCACCACGCTCGCAGACACGTCTTCGAACAACTTCACTTTGTGGACCAACGTGCGACACGTGTGCAGCTTAATTTCGTCACGTAATTCCTCTGATATAGGAAAAATCATTAATAAATAACTTATCTAAATGATAAGGTAATTTGTAGGTAAATCATGGGGAGGACAAAAATTAATCCAAGATTGTGTGGATTGTGCATCTTAACTGCACCGCGGGGTTCCTAACGTTAAATTATATGTATACCTACCTACTCATAAAACCGTATCTGTAACTCTTGAACTGTTCGCGATGTGGACGCAATATATGAACGCGTAGGTACCCCCTAGTGCAGTTGAGTCAATTCAGTCGGACAAAGTGCGCAGGCAGGACCTATATTATTTGTATCATTAAGGTCCGCAAATAAGGTACCTAATCAATTTACAAATTAAGTACCTGAAAGACAGTCAAGATCAGACTCTTCTTTAAAGTACCGCTCCTGATATCTAAACTTGTAGAAAGCACGCACTCGTTTCTTCAAGGAAAGCGGGAACTGTCTGTATTTCATGTACTCCTGGTAAATGAAATATCGATAAACATTCCGGTGATGAATTAATCATTCAATTCAGTCATCTACGCTTTGAAATGATCAAGAGACTAAAGGTGACTTATTAATAACTAAGTAGGTACTACATATTTACTGATAAAAGTTTTTATAATAACTATCGTGAGACATACTAAATTAAGTAAAAACGCGGGTTACTCACGTGAATATACTGAGAAAAGCTCTACTAGTTTCGAACCAGTGAGCTGCGCGACGTCGCCGCGACCGCGCACGCTGCTCATGAGGAAGAACCCCTCTGTGGTTCGAAACTAGTAGAGCTTTTCTCAGTATATTCACGTGAGTAACCCGCGTTTTTACTTAATTTGATAAAAGTTTTATAAGCAACTTACCTCTACTTGATTCATAAGTCCCTGGTACCGCATTGTAGACCCATAGATTGTGAGATAACTTTTTATCAGGTAAACTAGGAAACAATTATAAATTTTTGAGAATAGGTACATAGAAAATATACCTAGTTATATCGGTTTAGCTTACGAGTAGATAAATAGGTACTGACTACATTATCAGTTTACTTTATGATGCAGACGTGCACCGAGGCCCATGCATGGAGGTTTTTAGTCAGTTATTGACTGATACTCCCTTCGCCTCATTCATAAAAGAAGGTGAAGGTGAGCAAAAGAAGGTGGTAAAAGGGCACATTTGACGATTTTTTACTAAAAACGGGAGGTATTCGTGTCACTTTAAGAAAATTTCAGCATAGTAGGTAAGAATACATATAAGATACCTAGCGTAAATACCATGAACATAGCGGCGTAGACAATGATTACGGAATGAATTAAGATTTCATCTGGTTCTGTTGAGCGGAACATTGTAAATCCGGTACCTGAAAATTATACTACTTTATTATCAAATTCTATCAATCATACATGCGAATTTTCAGTAGTAGTCCATGGTCAATGGTCCATGGTGCAAATAAGAAGAGATGACAAAATAGCCTGCCTACTACATTCAGAGAAAGATGCTAAACTAGTATAGGTACTGTAACAATATAATAAGTAATTAAAACATGTACCAAAGAAGGCGGATAGAGCAATTATAATGGCTTTATTGTATCGAGTGGTCAGGTCATGTCCCATCAAATCTTTCGTGCCAGGGATGCGCATGTAGAAGTTGTAATGTGTCGGCATCTCACCCGTCCCTGGAACGAGAAATTGGTCGAACGAATATTTACTCACATTCTAAAAATCACGTTAAGTATCACCTACATACGTCCTACGTTCTCCTTCTGCCATTTGACAACCCCACATACCTAACTTGGGGAAGAAAGATTGGGTTAAGTAGACTGTAATGTTGAAATATTTCAACCTCATTTCAAATATCTATTTAATATTCTTAAATTATTCTTCTTCTTAATATTTTTCTTATCTCTCTATCAGGCGTTATCCTATAAAAACCATCACGCATTATTCTTTAGGTTTAATGATTAACTAAATATTTCCACCACTAGAAGAATTGGAAGGTTTTGTAGATTTTTACTTAAGAACGGTTACCTAGGAAGAAGAAAGATATACAGCATATATTGCCTAAATATATAGCATTATCATATTATGCTTTGCGATATACCATTTTGAAGGTTAGTATAATTAGGTAATTGAAATACTGACAGTAATAGACGACGATGGCAGGACAGTACATGAGACAGCTGCACCAGTGCGAAGATAGCACAAACATCACGTTCAGGCGGACCAGACCATGCACGATGTACGACTCTGTAAACAGCTGTGGACAAAACACGTAACAACTTTAAAGCTACACTTTTGGCCAACATATGATATGTATTGCTCCAACACTGCGTCCTACGAATATTATAAACTAGCTATTTCCGCGCGGTTTCACACGCTTTGCTCAGCTCCTAGTGGTCGTAGCGTGATGTTTTATAGCCTATAGCCATCCTCGATAAATACACTATCCAACACAAAAAGAATTATTCAAATAAGACTTGTAGTTACGGAGATTAGATTAGCGCGTTCAAACAAATATACAAAAAAAACAAACTCTTCCGCATTATATAATAGTATAAGATAATTAAGAAAGTTTGTTTGTTAAATACTCATTCACGCCAACGGCTGAAGGAACCGGGATGAAATTTGGAACAGGGTTAGGTTACGGTCTGGAATAACACATAGGTTTATCCCATGGAACTGCTGAGGAAGGAAGCGGAAGGCTGAGTTAATATGGTTACAAATATATTAGAAGTATGAAAACACTTCTAGATTATAGATTAACATTAACTCTTTGGATTATTCTATTCATCAGGTTGTGAAACTGTATTGAAGTGCTAGTTATTAAATGAATATCACATACCCTCAAAAAGACCTTCAGGTCAATAACAACGTTGTAGATCTTGGCAGCTCTAAGTAGAGCCATCAAATACGCTACTAACTGCAATCGATTACTGTTTTTCATGTAAGTGAGCACGACGTAGACACCTGGCAGGCTGGACACCAGGTCCACAATGAACCACTGACGAAGGTAGTGGCTGAGAGGAATTTATAAACTACTGTTATAAACCAGCATTTAGGGTACAATAAAATGGTGATACCCATTATTTATTTATTTATGTATTTAGGGTGGTCAGCCAACGACTGTTAACACATCATATTACAACAAATCGGGTTACAATATACATTTGCCAGTGTAACAATCGATTAAAGGCTAATAGTACGAGAGATGACGACCAAAACCATGTCTCATAGCAATACGGCAAAATCCCTATAAAATCGTTAGATTGTATGATTCTGAACCCGACTAGGTGTGTAGTAACGGTCGAAAGTATAGCAACTGCGTGGGAGGCCATTTCTGCTGTGTCAAAAATATCTGAGTATCGAAAGTTGTCTGATATAGAAGGTGCTACACTTATTTTGTCTGATATACATTTTTTGCACATGTGGACAACTTATTTTATCATGTCCAACAATTTTCAGACATATTGCCATGATACCGATCGGTATTTTCAAAACGGTCTCAATATTTAATGCGTTCACATTTCCGTCTGAAAATTGTTTTGTTCGCATCAAATAACCAAAATTTACTAATAAAAAAGGTTTTCAGACGTATTGCTATGAGATATTTTTTTGTCTGGTGTTTTTGTGGTCAGATCAAACGCTACGCGGAAAATGTCTGATATTGGTATTTTCGAGTTCAGGATAATCGTATCTATCGATTTGAGGCGGTTTTGGCCGTATTGCTATGAGACAAAAATTTTGGTCGTCATCTCTCTAACTATAACACATCTAATAAAACGCTATGCTGGTTTTCAATCAACTGAACTTTATTCTTTTTATATTTGAACATTACTCAGCCGTTCATTCGGTCAGTTCACTCTAATGCTTGTTAACTAACATAAGTAACACTAGATGGCATTAGAAGTAACTATAATAATTGGTTATTTTGTTATATCTATTTTACAACATCATGCACAAGAGAATAGTTATTACCTCGAATTTAAATTATTAAATACTGATACAAATTTTCTATAAACAAAACCCTATTTAAGTTGAAAGAATTGCAGAAAATATGTAATTATACTTAGTAAAAAAATCTAAATAAAGATTTTCCGCACACTTATGATATGATAAGTAATTTGATCAGCTGGGAGGGATCTTTACAAGGACAAACTTACCAGAAGATAGATTTTCTACTCATAACAACATGGAACTGACTTCTGTTTAAATATCCCGTGTTGAACTTGATGAAGATGTCGATGAGACAGGCGACCTGTAGGCCTAACATCACCAGGTCTAACGGGTGTATCTGCGGCTCCTCGATCGGCTGCAGGATGAAAAACAGCCGAAAACTCGACAAGACCATGTGTGTTAGATTTACAACTATCATCACGGACATCCAAACTAGGCTGAAATAATAATTCTTTTATAAGCAACGTTTAAAAAAACCCGACTTCAACCGCCTCTTTTTTTGAAATCGGTAAATTAATATAGGTACTAAACCTGTGACTGCCTCGTTGGCCAAGTGGTCGTAACTCGTAAGTGCGACTGCCGGGCAAGAGGTCTTGGGTTCAATTCCCGGGTTGGGAAAAGTATTACCGGATTTAAAAAAAATCTCAGTCGCACGGAGTCTAGAATTGTGCCCAGTATATAGCAATAGGCTCACCCCCTATTACATGGGACTCATAACATAAATAGTGAAAAGTGGGTGTTACATTATACAGTGGCCATTAAGTGCCGTAATGTGCACTTCTGCCTGCCCCTACCAGGATAAAAGGCGTGATGTTATGTTTATATACTAAAATCTCCTAAGTGTAACAAACCTTTTTCTGAAAACCGCATCGAAATCGGTCCAGTCAATCCCGAGATAATCGCAAACATAAAAAATATATACCTACATATCTAGGTCAAACGGAGAGCCTAATTTTTTGAAGATGGTTGAATTAAAAAAAATATCATCAACAATAACAGTTACCATCAGTCGAAATTCGTCTAATGCAGGACAAGGGGCGTATTAAGAGTAGATTTGTCATAAATCCCTATGCTTGCAAGGCGGCTACATAACATGTTATGTTATGTTGTTGTATTTAGTTATGTTATGTTATAGTCTACCACGTAACTCCATATTCCATAATACATTTTTTCGGTCAATAGCTAACCTTATCTAACTGAGTGGTAAAAACAGCCTGTGTAATATACAGTTACATTGGTTGAATTAACACCTGAATAAGCTAAGAGGGTGTATAACATTTCCCCCCTCCTCCAGTAGTTGTCTCTGTCGTTCGGCGACCACAGCCGAGTAGCTTCGGAAATATTCGTACGTTTCCGGATGGTGTTTGGTGAGCTGCCCCAGCTTGCGCAAGCTTCGACACATGCGACCGAGTAACGTGGTCTTTTTGGGCAGCATACTATCAGAACCTTGAAGAGAATTCATTGTTATTGCGCGCTATCTGCACCATGTCGGTATCATGAGCTTATTGTCCTTTCCTGCATTTACTAGCACTACGCGAAAAAAAATACTTTAGGTATTTTGTGAAAATAGAAATCATTAAATAGTCCTCTTAACAGTGCCAGACTCTTACTGACTAAAAAACACCTTGTTCTCACTCTTGCACTTTCCTGGGGCCCCAGTACCTATACCTATGGTTAGCTTCGCCTGCGAACCAGGCGGGCATCGATCCTAGTGGCTCCCGTCAGTGGTCTCTGTGAGGTCATTAAAAAGGATGTGCTGTATTAATAACTATCCACTACTACCTACCAAGATTTAAATCGCAGTTGTGTTTCTTGTGCGGCATTTTTTAAATCAGTAGTGGTCTTGAAATAACAAGATTTCTTTATATTTATACAAGTAAACTTAAGGTTTTGACGATTTTGACTTGTTAAATATATTATTTAATCTTATAAGCAGAAAATAACGACTGCAACAATGGAGTTATCAATCTATTCCTATTATTTCTTAAACTTATATACTGTTTGCCTATCATTTGCGAAAACTTTTGCATCTCTACTTTTGGGTGACATGTTATTCACTGTTAATTTTTTTTAATTATCTTTGGTAGCGTCTTATTTTTTTTAATTGTCTTTGTTTTGGCAACCCAGCAGTAAGGCTCGTACACAAAACTGCGATGCGATGCGAAATTGCCACTGATATGATAATATTTATAAATCTATGGAAATTGCGAATTCGCAACGCACAATGCGATGTTAATGAGCTCTCGTGTTATTCATCATCATCACTGTCATTGATCACACACTTTTTTTTGCAAATCATTCCTCGTAAACATTTAACATTACTTTGGTACACATACACGTTATTTGTTTTATTGTTCAAATAAAAACTTACAAAACTAACTAACATTTTTTTTTTTTATAACGCGATGGAAATCTTCATGGACTTCCCACGCCGTGGGGACGACGGGGGGGTGTGCCGGACTCTTACCGGCTAAAACCACCGCGGTGTTCCTCCTCTGCCTGTGGCCGTGACCCGGGACGCCCTTGCGGATTCACCGCACCCGGCAGGCCTCGACCTACCACTACATTGTGGCAGGTCCCACCACGTAGCAGCCCTCAAAAGCTGCGATTTTCTTCCTCGAGTGGCGCGCGTGAACACACCGCTAACGCCTAAACTAAACTAACACTAAATTAAATAGATTCAACTTGTTTTATTGATTTATTATTAATAGTATTAAGTATAAAATATTAAATATAAAATATAAAGAAATATTAAATATTTTTATTGCTATATAAAAACAGAACACTTTTACATTACGAGTATGTTATTTTGTACAACAGTTATGTTCATTTTAACGTACATTTTATCACATTACATATTAAATTCATAGACTATGCAACTAATAAAAATATAATAATTTAACTTTTAAACTGGGAGTTCACGACCTCGGGGTTGAAGGGGGTTGAGTTCAAGCCAAAGGTGTTTCCATGGGTCGCTATGGGGTTACGTGCAAAAGCCTGGAAAATAATATTTGATTAATAAATTAGTTTCAACAAACTTTTTAGAACTTGCAAAATATATTAAGAACGAATTTCATGTTAAAAGAAAGAGTAGACTGACAGAAAGAGTGCCTGCTTATAGATTTATTGGTCTATTAGCGTTGCTTAAATAATTGCACCTAGCTAATTATTGTCACAGTTAAGGGCTTTAACTCGTAATGCTTTAAATAGATTGCGTTTATTTTAATTTGAAGTCTAATTAAGCTGTAATTGTAGGGAAAGATGTATGACAATTACCGGATTTGCAATCTCGTTTTCGGGCGGGAAGTAGTCGTCTCCGAACTGTTCCATGTCTTCGATGCCGATCAGGTCATCGGATGCTTCACTGTAAAATATACAGACACATTTTATTTATTAAGACCTACTACCTAGTCCTAGTAAGTTAGTTTCCAGTTACAGAATTTGGATGGTCTTAGCCGGATTAGGTACAATTCTTTAAAAGTACTTACTTCAGCTCATTAGTATAAGCTTTGGTACTAATGAGCCGGCTCGACCGGAGTGATACCACGGCCGCACTAAAAACCGACGTGGAATAACGCTTGCGTTGTTTCACGTTTACCGGAGGCCTAATCACCCTCCTCCCCAACCATCCCGAATCCCGAATCTCCAACAATACTCAAATTCCTTATCGCCAAAATAACCGTAACGCATTTGTAACACCTCTGGTGTTGCGGGTGTCCATGGGCGACGCCGATTACTTACTATCAGGTGATCTGTCTGCGCTTTTACCGGCTAATTCCATAAAAAAGTATTTAAGTTTACCTAATAGTGTCGAAGTTAGGTGCTTTGATATTCGGTTCGATGCTGAAGGGGTTGGGAGCGGTAGCGTATTTGTTAAGGCCTAGCCCTTCAACTGTGGTGTGGGTCGGCTCAGTGTCCATAGTATCATACTTGGTTGAGAGAGCTTCGATGCGGCGATTCAACCTGACAACATAAGTACATTTTAATACAATCCAGAACATCATCACAACATCCTCACAGAACAGACTTCTACTGAAGTGGTCAAGTAGGTGTATACAAAAACATACAACATAGTAGTATACAAAAAGTGTGAAGTGGGTTCGTGACTTCATTACTCCCTGATAAGTGTCCTTGTGAACAAACAAAATCGTTTTGACATTATTGCAAGGTGGCTGTATTAGAAGAATTAAAATTGGCAGATTTTTATTAAAGTTAGGTCTACAGGAGTTTATTAACTTTGTTACTCTATTGTTTAGCGGATTGCTATTGCAAAAAATCTTAATTAATTTTACAATTTATTTGATTCAAAATAAGTACTATGAGTCCATTTTTAAGTAACTTAGTTTATCAAAGTTTTTACTAGACATGGTACTAACGTTCGGTTCCTGATGAAGAAAGCGATGACGAGAGCGAGGCAGACGACGGCGAGGAATGCTGCGATACCGGCGAGGATATAAACCGCCAGGGCGTAATCTCCGCCGGGCAGTACCATCGTCCCCCCTGGTACGTCTACTAGCGTCAAGCTCTGATTACTCAACGCGTCACTGATATTACGTAATACGTTGACATCCGAAAACAACCTAAGGAAGTCATATAAATTAATATCATTTGTCTTTTTAACCAGTGTAGGCAAACAACACATTAAAAGCGAATGCCAGTTAGATAGGACTTACTCTTCAATAAACTCGGCTGGCACCGGCATGTCGTCTCGGATGAAGTGCGCCTGGAGTTCTGTGTAACCTTCCCGCACCACGCCGTTGGCGTCGGTAGCGGGCAGCACGCTGTCTATGTTACACGTCATATCGAACACGTTCGAGAATGTATGCGCGATCTGCCACACGACGACAAACATTATAATATGAAACTCTGCAATGACTAGTATCTGACTAACAGTAACAGCACAGACAGTTCTGGTATACTTACGAAATCTCTTCTCGCGTTGACTTCAGCTTCCGTATTTTCGAACAGGAAGGCTACTCTGACACGTGTCGATATCATGTAGATTATAACTTTTGCTCGATCACTCACTTCATCTAAAAATCAAGTAGCTTTAATTAGATACGAGATCTGATAATAGTTTGAACGATCTTGGAATCGAAAACGAAACTTATTGCTTAGCAGTCATGCTTACGATGGACCAAACGAGGCAACCAAATGTACTTACTAATACAAGAACAACACTATTTGATATTTGATTCTCAAAACCAAGGACCAAGGAACTCTTTCATTAGCTCATGCTTGATGCAACCGAGGAACCAGTACTTCACGTTACGTTCACGCTGCACTAACGAGGCAATTTACCTAGTTGTATATAAAACTTTGCTTAGGCTTGCTTGACCTGTCTACGTCTGGAGACGTAGAAATAATAATTTGTCGAAAATGCTTCTTGTTATCAATATGATATCTATCACCATAGATATAAGAACTACTTACTTGCATCACTAGCCACCACTTCGAAATCGAAGTGGCCGTGCATAGCCGATGTTGGCTGGAAGTTCAGCGAGATAACCCCGGTCTCAGAGTTAATGTTGAAGGCGTCCTCCATAACAATTTGTAACGACTCGTCTACTTGCATGGTTTCTAGGTCTATGGAGTAGGTGATAGGGAGTCCTTCAGTGTGTGTTGCCTGCAAATTGTTGCCAAATTGCAAATTGAATTCTTTGGATGTTTAATGTACAGATTATAATAAAATTTACATGACAAAGGTTTAGTGTGATGATATGGTATTAGATCAGTGTGATACGAACCGTAAGGTAAATGAGATCCCTGTGTACGTTATCTGTGTGTAAGATGCCAGCAGTGTAAAGTTCTCTGCCGAAGATAGGTCTAGGGTTCGCATCTCGGACCTGAAAATATAATTTGATTCTATAAATAGCGTTCCAGCTGACTAATATTGTAGAACTTAAATCATTCTGTCTGTTGAAATTATTCGTTGACTTACAAGGTTAATTTACAAATCTAGACTCAGCGTATACTGATACTATCTAAATGAGCAAGGTTTGTACTTCAACAAGATATGAAACTCAAATCTATTTCTCTTATATTCGACGTGGTGACCTTGGAATCGACCTTATAAGACCATTCGACTAGAAAGGTTACGTGGGGATAGAAATGATACTGACGTCGATGGTGACGGTGAGCTGTGAGGAAGGCATGGCTGTGGTAACGCCAATCGTATTGGCAGCCGCTATCACTATACTATGCTGCTCCCGTTCGCTGCGGTCCAGCTCCTTCGCCAAATAGATCACGTTAGTCTCCGGTTCCACAGCGAAGTAGTCACCGTTGTTGCCGTCTGCAATCAAATTAACAAAACTACGTTAGCAGAAGCCTCCCACCATGACAGACAAGTGGTCGCGGCAAACTTGGAGCCTAAAAAACTATTGGATTTTTTCATTGAATAAAGCAATAGTTGAGAATAGTTTTTGTAAATCATAATTAAAGCATTTGGGTAGAAGTGTGTGAGTAACCTGACAACGAGTCTTACTAAGGAAATGATTTCTAAGCAACTTTAGAAGAGAAAAGGAAACTTGACTCACCAATGATAGTGTAGTAGACGGTATGGCAGTCTTCCGTACACCTGTAGTTCTTGGGGTCCTCGGCTTGAGGCAGCTCGAACCTCTCCAACATACCAGCTTCCTTTTCTGTAACACAAGGTGTAATAATGGAATCATTACAATGATTTCATATGTATAACATTATTCATTTGTTATTGTAAAATCACATTTTAACTGGCATACCTACATTTTGTTTTGTTTTAAAAATTTTAAATGGCTTACATAGCCTGTAAAAGTTTTGTTAAGTGAAGACGGAATTGTGACTTAGGAAGTAAGTTTCTCAATTTGTGTGTATATAATAGAGTCTAAAATAAAAAACATGAGGAAAGTTCCAAGTTAATAGGTTTCTGCATGTTGTAGGTCACTAACTAATTAATGAGATTTGTAATAAATAGTGGGAGAGGAGACGTTATATAAGCAATTTAATTAATACGCGTATACGCTTAAGCAGTACCTCACCTTTCAACCAGAGTAAAATAGTCTATATCTTTTTTATTCGCTTCAAAATTGGAAAGCATAATTACAGGCAAGAGTATCAGTACTCAGTACTTATCTATCAATAGTGTCACTTCACTAGTTTACTCTACTGTACTCGCAACATAATTACTGATGATATAAGGATATCATTTATCGTTTCTGATTACGTCTTGGCTCAATATTCATAATATCACACAATATCTTACCTACGAAACGGACAGTAGCTGAGTTTTCGGAGAACACAGGCTCTCCCTGCGTCAACACAAACAGCACAGTGACGGGGCAGTCGGTGGTCCTGGGTGCTGGCTCCGTCCCACCATCCGTGGCACGAATAACCAACTACAAATTAAATAATGTTAGGTATAACTCTCCCCAAATACGGTTACAGTTATCTACCAACTTTAGATTTGATTAAAGTTACGGGGCTTAAACATCAAACAAAGAATTTCCAGTTTAGTTTAGTTAGAATACCCAACTAAAAGTAATTTTACTGTCAAACACCAAGCGGTCACCGGTGACCGCAACCTATTGTTCTATAATTGTGTCTGCAAAACCGGTACTCGACGAGTTAATTCTAATAAAAAATACTTTTATCCATTAAAATTTTTTTGAGCTGGAACAACTCGTGACCCATTGAACAACAGCTGACTGTAATGTCGTCACTTCAGGAATTATATCTATTTATTGCAATACTGAAAGATAGCTACGAAAGTTGTACACGTATCCACAGTTACGAAAAGTACGTACATAGCCACAGCTACGAAAACTACGAACGTAGTCACAGGTATAAAAGCTATGAACGTAGACACAGGTATAAAAGCTACGCACGTAGTCACAGGTATAAAAGCTACGCACGAAGACACAGGTATAAAAGCTACGCACGTAGTCACAGGTATAAAAGCTACGCACGAAGACACAGGTATAAAAGCTACGCACGTAGACACAGGTATAAAAGCTACGCGCGTAGACACAGGTATAAAAGCTACGCACCTAGTCACAGGCATAAAAGCTACACACGTAGTTACAGGCATAAAAAGTACGCATATAGCTACAGCTACGAAAACTATACATGTAGCTAACTATGATTATGATTATTATCAACAGTAGCAAAATCATTTAGATTTAGTGCTCAGTACTATTATAGTGTTCATATTGAAAAGAAGATGTAACGCACCTCAAACTGTTGGACACCATCGGGCAAAGCTTGTTTCAGTGTGAGCAGTGCTGAATTATCACCATCGTTCAACACATTAAAATACTCCTCAGCTTCATCTGGTAACACAAATTACATGTAAATTTCTTTCATCCCTTATGTTGATATAAAAGTTATTTGAATTACCAAAGAACCAATAACAGTACTTTTAATAAAAAAAATCTAAAATAAAATATTTCATAAAAGTGCCTAACAGCTTTACTGAGTAAACATGATCAATAATTAGAACCTGTTTGCTGTTCATAAAATGGAACCCGATGTTCTCACCGTTTCCAACTATAGAGAAAGTCACTCTGCCTGCTTCTAACCCGTCTTCATCAGTAGCGGAGAGTCGGTCGAGGAACTCTCCACTCGCGATATTAGCCAGAGCCAGCATACCATTGACTATGGCACGCTCCTGGAATAATAAATGGAACAATCAAATGGTGTTTACTCTTGTTAATTATAATCTACAGTGAAAGCCACTAAGCCAATTAATGAGACAGTTAAACACAATGTGCTTTAGAGATGAAGTTTGCAAAAATACTCTAAATAGAATTAGAAGAAAAAAAAACTTTGGTCCAATAACTTACCCTGGAAAGCCTGATGGTTGAGCCAGGCGTTGGGAACACAAACACCGGTGAATGGAAGTTGTATGGCCTGACGGTTAGTTCATAGGTCTCGATTGAATACAGTGGCGGCTCACCGTGGTCAAACGCCTAAAAAGAATCAGTTTATTTTATTTATTTTTTTATTTACATGTGAATGTAATATTTTAATTGTACCTAGTAGATTTTTTGACAAGATCCCAATCATTTCACTGTATGTGCAATAAGGTTTAATAAATAAATAAATAAATTAAAGGGAATTGTCGTTTTGTATCTCTCGGTGACTGATCGCAGTTTTAAGACCTATACCAGCTTTCTATTTACCTATATCTCCTAACTCTTCATTCAATACTTACACGTATTTCGACTTCATAGGTGCCCCAGTATCCTCTAAGGTCCATGGTAGTCACCAACTCTCCTACGAATCTCCAGGTTTCGAAATTACTAATCGTTTCTATTTTGAATGGATCTTGAGGAAGTTCAATCTCTCTATTGATCAATGTGACTGATAGAATTTCATATCCGACGCGAGAGTTGTTTGAGAATGGTTCATCTCTGTCGTGTGCATGAATCTCTGGTGGAATGTGGTATCCCTGAAAAATACGTTTTTTTATGTAAAGTTAATCATTACCGCAGGGTCCAAAATTCACTTCGAAAATGCGAATTGATAGTTACAAAATAGCCTAGCAGGTACTTTAATCAGGTATGTGTAATAAATTGTGCAACTTTTACCTCGACCACACCTTCGGAAACGGTCCAGAATTCGCCAACGGAAGCTGGCAGTTCCGGCGCATTGTCGTTTATATCAAGCAGTATAACAAGCACCTCCGTGGAGATGGAGTTCTGATTGCCATCTAAAGAAACATGCAAATCGTCTAACTTAAATATGTAATTTTTTGATATATGTAGATAATTTATTTGAAAGTATGTGAGCGTTACTAAGAATTTACCATTCTGATACAGATACTGGTTTTAACTTAACCCAAAAATTCTGATTGGTTTTATGAAGATTTTAATGATGCTCTTATACCTCCAGCGCCTTCCAAGTTATCGACGATGGTGAAGATGATCCTATGCTCCGGTTCATCTCCATCCCTGTCCAACACTTCCTCAGTAGTGAAGTGTACTCTCAGAACGCCAGTGTTAGGATCCACTGCGAAGAAGTTCTCCAGTCTATTGTTGAATGCGTAGTTGATTCTGTACGTCAGCTCGTTGTTTGGGTCTACAAAAAATGATTGTTTTTAATTTTTTTAGAAATCTTGGATAAGTCGGGAGGTTCAAGACGTAATTTGTGTTGGGTTATCAGTTCGAAAAAAAAGAAATAGATTGTGACTTTTTACACTGTGCAGAGTCGGGAACTGTTTTCGTTTAGCATTTAATAAGTATTCTTGCATTTCTTCCCTTATTGAAACTAAGAGTGTCTTTTTTCTTGTTTATAAGCATTATTTTTGTGGATTGTCAGTATGCACATGTAAGCCCTATGTTAGACTATAATATATTTTTAATTATATTTTTTTATTTGTTTTTTGTTTTAGCAAAATCTGTAATTTGTATTATGCGTCAAACGTGTATTTACTTTGTTCTCACACAAAATTGGATAGTTTATCAGAGAGATTGTAAAACATATATTTTTTAAAGAGTAACGTACGGGTTGTCTCGCTCGTTCTTCTTCATTCGAATCTACATTTTGGAACGAACACCTAGCTTCACTAACGGACAGACGGACAGACTCTATTATTTATTTATTTTATAATTGTTTACGTTTAAAAAGTACCAAATCAGTATTCAATTGAAATAAATGCTTTCACTTTGACTTTTGAAAGAAATATCGTGTTATGTTATGCTTACAATCTCTGTCCAAGTCGCTTGCTATGATCGTAGTGATCACGGTACCATTACTTTCATTTTCGTAGATGCGCACTTCTTTAGGGAACTGATCTGTTTCCGCGTGTGGAACTTTGTTGTTCGTATCAGTTATCTCGATCGCTATCTGTAATTGTAAATATAAACAATAATGAAGCTGCTATAAACAATATGATTTACTTAATTAACGAAAAAGTATTTGAAATCTTTGAAAATGT